TCCTTAAATTAAGCTTATACTATAACTTCTCTATAAATATCTAGAGTATTTATAAAGAATAAAAGGGACTAAGAATACTAAATAAGATATTAATCTCTCTACTACTTTTAATATTATTTTATAAGCTTATTTCTAACTTAAATCCCTTTAAAAAGCACTAACTAATTAGTTTAATAAGAATAATATCCTTATAAGTATTATAGAGATAATTAGAAGTAAAATTAAATAATTCCTAGTTAAGCGAAATATTATAGATTTAATAACTAATTATAGTTTATATTTACCTCTTTATAATATTAAAAGTTAATAGATTTTTAAATAAATAATATAATATTTTTAGATAATATAATACTTCTAGCTAATATTATTAAATAAGACCTTCTAATTAAAGTAACTAATAATATTTACTCTCTTATTACTTCTCTTACTTAATCACTTAATAATAATAATAATAGTAAGCTTTAATAGGTAGAGAGGGTTTTTTTTTTATTTCTTTATATAAATATAAAGATCTTAACTTTAATAACTAGTAGTAATTTATTTAATAAATAGGATATACCTCTAATATTATAACTAAGGAGAAATATACTATAATTAAGGTGTTATAAAGCTAACTAACTATTAAGATTAGATTGTTTTGTTTTATGTTAATATTATGTTCTTTTAAGTAAGAAGGCTCTTAATAGTATTAAAGTTAAATATAACTATAGCTATAAACTTAACTTTATAGTAAGCTCTCCTCTCTATTAATATCTCTATTTTTTTTAATATAAATACTATAGTAATAAAAGTGATATAAGATAGTATTAATATTCTAAGCTACTTTAAGAGTATAATTATAAAGAAAGTTTATAAAAAAAGTATCTATTACTTTAATCTATTTATACTTTATATACTACTTCTATAAGTAGTTTTTAAGGTTACTAAAGAATACCTTAATAGGGTTAAAATCTAGTAAGTATATAGGTAAGTATTATAACTTAATACTATATTATTAATAAGTATCCTCTAACTACTTCTAGTTATATTATACTATATTATTTATAATTAAAACTAACTTTAAGCTAAGAAACTTCTCTATCTTTAGTAGTATAAAGTTCTTAATCTAAAATAAGAAGCTATTAGTATCTATATATCTAAGATAAATAATATAATTAAGAAGACTATTAATAGTAAGGGCTAATAAGATATAATACTATATACCTCTTTTTATAATACTCTACTTTAATAGCTTTATACTTTTTAGCGCTTAGTTTATATATTTAGTATTACTTTAATAATTAATATTATTTTTATTAATAAAAATAAATATATTAGTAGTATAGTTATAGATTAATATAATATATACTTCTTATATAGCTTAGTTTTATTACTAAGTAATATATTAAATCTTCTTCTTTTTTTATTATATCTTTTTAAAGTAGTAAGAGATTATTAATATAGATATAGATAAATTAAACTTTTCTATAAGAAAACTTTAAACTTTATTAAAGTAGTAATTAGTTTTATTATATAAAAGCTTAAAGATTACCTCTTTATAGATTAATATTATCTTATAATACTTAAAACTTATTAGTTAATATAGTTTTAATATATCTCTAAATACCTCTTATTATTAATAATAGATTTAAACTATTAAGATATTATACTTAATAAGCTTTATAATTAACTTATTATTAAAATAAAGTATAAATAGTAACTTTTTTAGCTAAGCTTATTACTTACTACTTAATAACTTTAGTATTATTTACTTTATAATATTAGTATAATTTTAATTAAATATAGTACTAATAAAGAGGATAGATAGTAAAAAGGTTATATTATATATATTTTATATTATTAAATAGGTTTAGTAATAAGATTTTTAGTATTAATATATTAGAGGTATTTTACTATTAGAAGATAGGATATAGTTTTATAAGTATTATATAGTAAAAAGAGTTTTATTAATAATATTAATAATTAATTTATATTTAGATTTTATAATAATATATATTAATTTATTAATAATACTAGCTAGATAGATAATAATAATATTATAAGCTCTAAATTAACATACTTAGCGATAGTTTTAGCTTTCTATAGCACTTTAATATATATACTTAAGAGGAGTTAACTCTATAAGGATAAAAAGAAGGATAGAATATGGATTTTAGTGAAAAAAGGCTTTTCTGAAGCTATTAATAATTAATTTATATAATAATTTACGTTAATTAATATGTTTTTAGTGTTAGTATATATAAATAGGTAAAAGTAGCGTGGAGGGGTAATAAATCGCGCACTGACAGGGGTTTTGGGTAAGGCAAACGCAAATGAGTGCAATGTCCACCTGATTCTGTAACGCGGGCACCTTTTCCGTCATGATACTGAGTGAAGAGGATGAAACGGTAGGGGAGGCAACTTTGATATATTGCTGTAACGTATAGTTGTCTCCTGATATGATACACGCTCGCAACAAAAGTTCGTGATCCAAATTGTAAACGAATCCTCCTTTCCACCGCCACGGATACCCAGTCACAACTGCTCGTAATAGCGAATCAAGACACAGTGAGCATTGTGACGTTTAAGGGAACGCCGCTTGCATATTGAGATTCTGCCCGCTTTGTGACGTTCATTTTCTGAATCAAGCCCAACTGACGCTGATCCCGTTTGAGCCCTACAGCCTTGGCGGTGGGCCAGACATCGCGGGAATAGTATATGATCCCCCTGGAAAGCTCCGAATCGATCTTCCTTTTCATCAGTTTGCTCCATTTTGTTCAGATTCTCTACGTTATCTTCGTTATTCAGGAAAATCTCATTTACAGCGCAGCACAGGCTCAGTAAAGTATCAATGGCTGTTGCGTCCAGAAACAACACAAAACTTGTCAAGGACGAGAAAGACCGTTCGCACGTCCCTGTGTTCCCGTTGTGGTTGTCAGGTATTAGAATAATACAATTCGTAAGTCTAAACTTCACCTCACATTCGAGTGACAGGACGCGCTCGTACCAGATTTGTTCAATGCGACCTTTCGCTAACGGTGCTACGCTACAGATACAGTCGACAGTGTTATTGTTGTGGACTGCTTGGAATCTCGCTAGCAGATATGTAAAAGGTCATGAAGTGCCGTGCGATTTCCGTAAGTTGCAAGCCCCTCAGTTTGCATCGAAGTCTATCTTCACGACGACGGTTCTGAGCACCTGAGCATTTCCATATTTTCTAGTCTATCGCATCCCGTCATAACCTGATGTTCGCTAATTGTTGCAAAGTCTTTTCATTGTTTGCATTTGCTTGGACCTCGTCAAGTCTAGCATGGCTCGGTGTCGCTGTTCATCTTCGTCCACGGATGTACAATTGCTGGATACACGGGTAAATGGCGCAATGCACACGATATGGAACGACGTCTGCTAACCAGATTTCACAGTGGCGTTGAAATAATCACAGTCAGATGTTATACAGCTGGAATCCTCAGCTTTGTAGATTCACTGCGAAGCGTTTGACACCGACGGGACCTTTCCGGGAGACTGTGACATTCTGGAGATGTTCAGCATTGCGTTATGAGACACGATTATGATTAGAGGCTCGAGGAGCTGTACTAGACTACAGCCACTTCTTTTAGGAGGAAGAATCGGAGGCAACTTTTCTTTTGTACGGAATTCAAAAGTATGGAAAAACAAAATACATAATCTCCAAACATCTGCAACATTTGGAGATTGATCTTGCCACCTTCAGTTTCTGAAATAATTTTCAAAAACCTTTGATATCCAGATCTCATTCTTTTTCTGAACGAAAGAAGGTGCCCGCAGCTAGAGGTCGACTTTCAATCAACCCGTCCAACCCTATTCTTCTCTTTTTGAGTTTAGAGATATGGTGTGGTACAGTAGTTTGCCACCTTATAGCACAAATAATACACAGTATAATTAATGCGGAGGCCTGAACCAATTGTTGATTGATTGTGCTAATCACAGAAAACAAAAATCTGACAGGGGCGAGCCAAGGGAATGGCTGAAAACGCCAAGATTTCAGAACGTCATTTGTGTGATGCGATCAAGACGCCTAGCTTAGGCAGCTGAGACCAACCTGCTCAAAACAAATGCAGGTGTATGGCAAAGCAGCCTTTGCGCCCAATGACGGCCACGCTTGCATGGGATCTTTCTGCCTTGCGCCGCAATGAAGATCGCGTTGCCACATTGCATGCATTCCATAGGATGATGTGCGGTGGCTGAACATCCATTTTCCTCATAAAGCAGGCTGATGCTGGTTTTCTTTTCGGGATGTTCAATCTTGGCGTCTCCAAATTCAAGTTACTCACTTCCCCCTTCTTGTTATTCCGTTCTGCTTTTTTCATCGCCAGCCACTGAAGTTCTTCAACTGATATTTCAGCCTCAATTCGACTTCGTTATTCTAGTAGAAGTCACACGAATTGGCGTCCCGAATAAGCTTGATTTGGAGAACACGAGTTCTCATATTTACATCGATGGCTATGCTAACAAGAGATGCCTGGCCTAAAGATGGGAAGAACCGTTCCCACATTCCCAGAATGCCAGTTTGGGTGGCAGGTCTCAGGATAGCACAAGTTGTGAGTGGCAATGATACTTTTTGTCATCCGACAGACTTTGGAAACGGGTTGGTCTGCAAGATAAAGTTTAATGCTAACATTTTGGCGGCGTTGAATCATAGGTTCTTTCGACTGTAGTAGTAGCATTGACTGCCTGGGGACTCATCACTATACAAAAAACAACAGGTTCTCAAAGGATAACAGTAGGTTTCATTCCGAACTACTTTGTGCCTGGGTCTCTTCTCATCCCAATGGCCAGAATCAGTCGTACTTGCTGACAGTAGCTCTCATGTTCATAGTCCTTCAGCGGCGCTGAAGGCTTCCGTACGTTTCCCAGTTGCACAATACTTTCTCTTTAGTCTTCAGTCTCCATTGACCAATAAATCAGCTCTCTCTTGGTTCGCCTTTGCTTGGACTTTGACGTACATAACGTGGCTTGGGGTCGCAGTGACCTTCATTCCCACCATGTACAACAGCTGGGTACATCTGTAAGACTCAATCAGTAAGAGAATTGAGGATGGTCTGTTGATTCAGTGACTTTGCAGTGGCCTGGAAATCTTTTCCGTCATCATATGGCTGGTTTGTCTCGCTCTTTTCGCCAGCCACGCAGACAATCTCGCCTCCATCGACGCATTCGCCTCAGCTTTCGGCACCCAATACAAGGCGTTGTTCAACCTTGATATCAAGCAATACTCCCAAACCTTTATTACTGCAACGATCGCAGCAACAGCTGTTACGGCCGTCATATTCGTGTTATTCTTAACGAGCGCTTTTGCATTCAGTGCGTTGCTATATCTTATTGATGAAAGGTGTCAGCTGAAGCTAATCATGCTAGGCCGCGAGCTGTATCGCCATCGGCGAGGAAAAGTCAGAGGAACGGACGAAGCCATTGGACCGGAATCTGCGGACCGTCGGAAATCATCGAATCCAAGCGCTCCTGACGATGGCGAACTGGGACATCGCCAGCAGGCCCCAGAGCTACAGGCGTGCGAAGTTTTAGAGACACAGGCGTCTGATCCGCGTTATCATACCGCAGAGTTGGAGGATTCGAGGCGAAGAGTAGAGCTGGAATGACAGCGAGGGCTGTAGCTGATACAGGTAGCATGACTTCAGACTGCGATAACGTAGAGGCCGTAATCTTTTGTGGCCATCTCTCTTGCCGGAACAATGCTCTCGATGGTAGTCTTGGAGGCAGACAACACCCAGTGAGAATTAGATAACTCAATCGAAATTGGAAAGGCCTCTAAAAAGTCATTGGAAGTCAAATATCCGCGTTGGGCTGAAACACCACGAAGAGCTTGAGAACTGGGTTACTACATCGACTGTGGGATTAACCTCTCGATATCTTCACAGCAAAGAGATCAGGTCAAACGCAGCTAGATACGTGTTTAAAATATAGCGATAGCACCAGGTGGGCTTCCTATCCCACCTTTCAAGTGCAAAGGTGCACTGGTCAGAAAGAAGGACCATCTTTCATGTTCCTCGCATAGTTCCGCCAACTTCTCAAGATCCCACAACTCTCCGAGAGGCGTTCCCCACCAAACAAGCGCAAACTCGTGGATTACAAACGGAGTCCCTGCTGGCGGTGGCCAAGCTTCAAAAGAAACAGTGTCACCTGCCAGCGCAGCGAAGTGCTTGTTGTACAGCCACCGTACCGTCTCTTCGGTAGATGCAATGCCGATGGCAGGACCCCCAAACTTCATCCCTTTGCGACGCTCTTCTTCGGAAGACTCATTGTACCTCTTGATGTAGCCAGTGCGCATGATTAAGATGTCTCCAGGTCGGCATTCTGTACCTTGCTCGGCAAGAGCCGCCTGGATATCGTTGACCCCGATCGGGCTTGTAGACCAGGCGTCTGGTAGTTTTCCATCGCGCCTTTGGTAGTATCGAACCTTAAACGCATTGTGTCAGTACCCATTCTTCTATTTGAACGCTTGCAAAACCATCTTTTCTAGTCTCACATACCATGTCGACCAGTATACCACGGCCTGTAATGCCTCCGGCCTGACACCAGGTATGTATTCCATTGGTGTGTGTCTTCTTTGCTTGTTCGTATGTCAGGCCCCCATAGAAGACCTGACTTTTTTGATGGGCGAACTATGAGCCGCGTGAGATCTTGCTGTTCGTATGGCCTTGCCGTGTACCTACGTGTTTCAGGCTATCCCATTGCGAGCTGCCCTGAGTGTTGATATGTATCTCATCATCCAAGACGAAGGCATTGATGTCTGGATTCTCAGAGGCATCCAGTATTGTGTGCTGTAGTTCTCTTCGACCGAAGCCTGGAGACTTGAATGAATCCAGAGGCCAATCAAGTTGAACCCGGCGACCGGTTTGAATCTCGCAGGCGGCTTCTTTCACGACACGTGGCGTCAGAAGGTTCAAAGCTACAGTTCTTTAGCAGGCGCAAAACCATTCTCTACCAGGCATTCTTACAGCCAAGCTCGTCCTTCTTGCCATTCCTGTCATAAAAACCCCAAAGACATCCTTGAGGTGCACCCGGAACTACAGGCAGATCTTCAAACGCTGGAAAATGGTGTTCCATATTAAGAACTGCAATCGCTGCTTAAGACGAGTAACTTTAACGGGTTACCCGGGTGAGTAATTGAGGCTTGGCGCGAAGATGCGAACCGTGACATTCATATACTAAATCAAATAACTAGATTTCGGGTAAAGATTTCCCCAATAGTGCAACCACCCACCACATGCAGCGATGATTGTCTCGATGCGTGTGCTTGCATGCAACCCCGCCCTGAGAACCACTTGATGATGATGTTGATGTCATAAGATCGCCCGTACAGCTTGTTTCATTTGGTTTGCAGATGTTCACACGTGGCATTAAGTCATTTTCGAGCAGTGATGTGTTTGAAGCCTGTCGATTTTTTTCGCTATTCTGTAGACTCAGCTTAGTCTTGCTAATATTACTTCAGCGAATAAGCAATTGAAGGTCCTTGTTTTGCGACATGAGGCTTTCGAAATTCAGTCCTCTTCTTTGGCAACCTTCTCTGACGCGTTAAAGGCGACTACACTGCGCATTACGCCTTTAAGCGTGCATCCGGGGCCCTTCAGTTTGAGCATCTTAAATTGCACTAACGCAAGCCATCTGTCGTAGAGAATCGTGGCACCTACCAAATCTCTACTAAGTAGCTCTGAGCTGTTGGCTTCCACGCTAATCGGGTAGAACTCTGCGTTGTGCGACAACCGCAGTGCCAACTTCAAGTCACGATGACCTCTTGGGTTCGCTTGGGGCTACGATCAGGCTTTCTGCAGGTGATGACTCATCCAATTAAGAGTCAAGGTTGCGTGCAACCTGCAGGTCCTGTGACACTAATTAAACGTTGGTTCGTGCCATCATCTCACTTCTTCCCCGCACAGGAAGATGGTCTGATCCGTGCTCCTCGCCGAGTCTTTCTCTCATTCAACATACGGCGACTTTCCGTCAAGCAATGCTCGCCGAAATCATTGGACGGCCGCTTTGCACAAAACAATTTCTCATCTCGGACTTTAAGAAACTCGGAATAGTCGAAGGCGAAACGCTCCTGCTCCATTCGTCCCTTAGCCGCCTCGGATGGGTGAACGGCGGCGCCGAAACGGTCATCTCTGCTCTCCTCGAAGTCTTGGGAGATGAAGGGACGCTGGTAGTACCGACCTACACGGGGGACAACACCGACCCGGCAGAATGGAGGTCTCCACGCGCGCCCCGAGAGTTGTGGCAAACTATCCGGGACACAATGCCCGCGTATGATCCGCGGATCACCCGGACTCGGGGGGTGGGAGCAATTCCAGAAATGCTGAGGAATTGGCCCGGAGCTGTGAGAAGTGGGCATCCACAGACCTCATTTGCTGCCGTTGGGCCCAAGGCAGACGAAATCACTGCAGGGCACGCACTCGATTGTCGCTTAGGGGAGAACAGCCCGCTCGCCAAGTTGGAGCAACTTGAAGCTCGCATCTTAATGCTGGGCACCGGATTCGATACTTGCACGGCGTTCCATTTGGCAGAGTACCGTAATGTCGCTCCGCTGGAAAGCAACTCATTCGCTGCGATAGTGGGGGGCTCCCGGCAATGGGTGACGGTCAGAGACATCACCCTTAACGATGACGACTTTGGGTTCATTGGTAAAGGTCTAGAAAGAACTGGGACTGTGAAGAAGGGATTGGTCGGCGGTGCATATTGTGGAATATTTCCATTGCGAGAGGCAGTGAGCTTTGCGACAGACTGGATGAGAGCCAATCGGTAAAGGATGCTATATAGAATGTGTCGATGGAACACTCTTAACACATGCGGTATGTAAACTCTAGTAAATACCTACAAGAAACAGGAAATAATAAATTTCAATCCATGGATCTATTTTGGACACGCGGTCAAATTCAGCCCATTGAAACATCGTTGTTAGTCTGTACTGAAGGGCGCAATGACATGTTCAAGGGCGTAACGACTGGTCGTTAAAACCGGATAGCCGGTCCGGATCACCTCGACGTGCCGGCCGGAGTTTATGGATTTCATCGGGTGAGATTAATAATCCTCGGAGACGTCTTCCGAGCAGATTAAAGGCATCGAATGGAAGCATTTTCGAGAAAGGCCCATAGAGTCAAATTCCAGCATCATGAACGGCAAAATTGACATAGCGCCCAGGAAATTGCGGCCTCTGGGTAAGCACTGTCTACCTAAAGGCCGAGCGTAGTAGAAGGCAAAGTAATTCAGTTGACACCTGCAGGCCTGTTGGAGCGATACTCGACAGTCAGAAGCCACCTCGGAATCTACAACAACGTCTGCGTCACTGCAGTCTATAGATGTTCCTACAACGGAGATCTTCTGCAGGCTCTATGGTGGGCTATTGGCGACGTGGTTGCCCAGCACCCGATCTTGAGTGCGGCACCCGTTGATATCGATACCAAAGATCCTCGGTTCATCTCTCTGCCAATTACCGAACCCGAGCAAGTCATTCAGTTGAGAAAATCGCAGACGGTCGTCACCGACCCTCAGTTTGAAGCTGAACTACAAATGACGCTAGAAAAGCAACACAATACGCCGTTTGAGCACGGCGTGAACCCACAGCCCTTCTGGAGACTAGAGGTTCTGGATGACCGGACCAACTCTGGAAGTTTCGTGGCTTGTCTATGCTTTCACCACTCACTGATGGACACCAAGAGTGCCCTAATCTTTCATGAAGACCTAGAGAAAGCTCTGAATCAGTCGTCTATAACGACCCATTCGAAAGATGCGCTGCTTCCCTCACTGGAGGCCGTCTATGATCTGCCGGCTTCAGAAGCCTTCGTTCAGCAGGCATCGATCTACAACGAGTCGCCAGCCAACGTCTGGAGCGGTGCAGTGCAGAAACTTCCAGTGAGAACCCGTGTCAGGCTGGTTTGGGTCTCGGGAGAAGTTGCCGACAGCTTCAGAAAATACTGCAAGGAACAGAAGGCATCTGTAACGGCTGGTATGATGGCCCTCCTCGCAGCAGCATTCTTCAAAGTTCTTCCCGACGACTATGATACGTTGCAGGGCGATTGTGCCGTATCCCTGCGCCACCTGATGCCGGAACCCATCAGCGACAGATCCCTAGGTTGTTACGTTGGATCCTTCAGCGAACAATATTCCCGGAGCGCGGATCCGGCGTCGGTGTGGTCCGACGCTAGACGGACAAAATCGACGATTGATGAGGTTACGAAAAGACGTGGAGCGGATATGCCTGTCGGGTATCTACGTCACGTCGCCGATGACATGCCGGGATGGTTATCCGGAAAGCTGGGGAAGAAGCGGGCCGCTGCGTGGGAACTAAGCAATGTCGGGGTTGTCGGCTACGCTGGAAAAGTGACCGAGACTGAGTTCAAAATGGAGCGGATGCTGTTCAGTCAAAGTTCCAGTGCAACCTCTGGGGCTATCAAGGTGAGCGTTGTGACGGGGAGAGACGGGCAACTCGGGTTTGCTCTCTCGTGGCAGGAGGGCATTGTGGAGAAGCGTCTGGCTGAAGAGTTGGTCTCTACGTTTAGAGAGTCTTTACTAGCACTAGTATCTGAGGGCGGTCGCTGAAAAGACTAGATTCGATACTATGCTCATTGCATCTACTGTATCAGCCAATCATCTTCCAAGGTACGATCAGCAACTTTGAAGTTAGCCGGCGCCACAACCGGCTAGACGTCGACTATCACTTCAATGAACCGGCCCGGTTCTCCAAGACAGATTCCCGGTCCGACACAGCACAATGAGGTCTGTTGCTGACTCATGCGGACACAGGTTCAACCGCTAGTTGTTAAACCGGGAGCCAAGTGGTTGGTGAAGGCATTCTTATATGCTATGTTCAAAATATGTCCAAAGAATATCCGGCATCAAATTATGTACACCAGTTTAAAGACCGAAGAACTTCATGTCATCGTCACCCCGGATAGGGACAGTGTGTCCAACACCGACAGCCCAGACACCGGTGAGGTGGTCGCCAAAGACATCTGTGCGGTAGTTGGCGATGGGCGTGTTCGCAGACGAAGTGACGGGCTTGTCGGGGTTGTAGCCAAAGACGCCGGACCACTGCTTGATAGTCTCCTGGTAGTTCTTGGCGTTAAGCGTGGTGTCGACGCTGCCGTGGTAGATCTGCATGCGGGGGCGGGACCCGGTGTAGCCGGGGTAGGCGTCGGTGACCCATTTTGCCCAGGCGGCGGGCGTGGCAATGGAGTTACCCTGGGAACAGGTGCTGTTCCAGCCGTTGACGGTGCCGGTGTAGAAGCAGCCGGCCGGGACACCGTTGTAGACGATGCCGGCAGCAAAGACATCGGGGTAGGTGGCGGCAAGGACGTTCTGACAAGGTTAGCAAAGCACGACACTATTGACAGGTTGCGGTCAACTTACGGTCATCATGGCACCGGACGAAGAGCCAGTAACGAAGACCTTGGACTTGTTGCCGTTGTACTTGTTAAGAGTGTACGAAACCATGTTCGCAATGGAGTTGCTGTTAGCTCCGCCATTGTGAGTGAGGGTCGCCTTGGACGAGACATCCCAACAAGTTCCCGAGTAGGGCGACTCGGGGTAGATGACAATGAAGCCCTTGGAGTCGGCGAGAGTCTTGTAAGGGCTGTTGTTGTAGTAAGCCTGAGCGGTGCCGGTGCAGTAGTGAATAGCGACGACAACAGCAGGGTTCGTGGCGACTTTGTCGGGGACGTAGATGTACATCTTGACGCCGCTGGGGTTGGAGCCGAAGTCGGTGACCTGCTGCAGCGAAGCAGCGCTGGCGGCGCTGGCCAGGCCGAAGAAGGAAAGAATGTTGCTGAACTTCATGGCTGATTTGATTGGATCGCAAACTGCTTGACAAAATGCTGATCGTCCAGTTCCCACTTGTCAAACTCGACTTGGCTTCTGGGTATTTATGGTCCCGCGAGGATCAAAAACGAAGCTGATCAGACAATCGCCCTGTTGTGCCGCACCATGCAACTTTTGTAGACTTCCCTTCAGCCGCTCATAGACGACGTCAGGGGTCGCAAGTCGTTTGTGTAAAACCCGGTCATCTCGGTCCCCCACATCCAGGGTCGTCTTGGAAAGGGGGGCAACCACCAAAAGAGTCGAATTGGGCAGGGGGAATAAGAATTTAGCCGGAAGAATTGGCCACTCTTCGTCCGAAGGGAGCAACCCGCAGGAACGGGTTCATCTGGAAAAAAAGCTTCTTCGGCACTTGCGGAAGCCTCCGAACAGAACCTGGTATGGTCTCAACTTTAGATGCCGAGAGCCGCTGCTTAGCGTGGCTGCATGGTTCCTTTTGCGAGAGAGAGTCCGGGGGTTGCCTTGCACTTTTGCGGTGGTTGCGCATTGCCGATCTGCTGGATAATCTGGCTTGCCGGCAACACCAGCCACGGAACATGCTCCCATGCTTGGCGCATTGAACCGGGAATCCCAGGCCAAAGCAGTGAGTTTTGGGACATAATTGATGTGGCAAAACCTAGGCTGAAGCTTGAGCCACGGGGTTGATGTTTATAATTCCCCCAATCCCAACGGTTCGTTGACGTGACAATAATTTGGATAAGGGTATAATCGACTGGCGCACTATTTCTCCGCGATTCATCGCGATGCCAATCATCCGGGGTATCCGGAGTCGGAGCTGCGTACCACGCGGACATCCTTTCAGCCGCCTGCCTACAATGCGCAATCGTCAACCGTACGGCGACGCAATACCCGAGGGCTTTCGCATGCCGTTCCTACGATTCCATGTGTCCAACTTGTCGGTGTCTAGGAGGCGATCGGTCGTTCAGGGAGCGGGCGGCATCCAGAACACGGGAGCGCCCTCGAAGTTCGAAAATGTGGCGAAGGCCTGCCGATTCATCAGCACATGGATTTTAGAATGCGCGAAGGTAGCGATATACCGAAGAGTCTAGATCTAACCAATCCGTAGTCTCCCAGCCTGCCAGAAAGTTGGTCATGCCTTCGAAGCCCTGTGTCTGGAACACCGCGCCCATGTCGCCCGATTGTGCCACGCCAAGTGCCGAAGGGTCGTCAACTTGCATCGGATCCGCTGCCTGTCCACTCTCAGCCTGTTCAGAGGTCGCGCCTTGTTCTGGCCCCCGTTGTCTGGCTTCAGGCCCCTTGGCCTCTTCTCGCAACTCCTCCAAGATGACGCTATACCGCCTGCTCGGGCTGTCGGACGTCGTGGCTTTCGCCAGGTGGTTTTGGCATCGGTCCGCGAGCTCGAAGAGTCCTTTGTCCTCGTCGTCTCCTACTCTTTGTATCTTCCAGACATAAACCACAGCAAGAGCGCAAAAAGTGACGTAGGGCGTCCACCAAAACGCATGGAACAGAGTCCCGTCGCTGGCCATCGCGTCGACTGTCTCGAGTGCGGTCTTGGCGGCGTTGATACATTCCTCTACACTATCGTCGAGCGCAGACGGTTGGCTATCGCCTCGCGAGGTCGTCGTGCCGAGAAGGAAAGGACGGTTGGCGTGCATGATGGCGTGACAGTATGCCAGCTTCAGTGCGGTGTTTTGTCGCCTAAAGGATGGGATCAAAGACATTGGGCGGACGGTGCCGAGGTGATGCGGTAGAGATTCGCGCCACCCGTGAAGAGCGCGTCCGTATCGGTGAGCGGCCAAGAGACGATCGTGTTTCGGTATTGGTTTGATCGAGTACACCTCGCGCGAAATTCCGTCAATCAGCTGGGCAAGCTTTGCATGGAAGATGAGCGATTCAACGTGGCAGTCCATTTCGGGTTCGTCGCTCGATCTGCCCTGGGGAGTCATGTCTTCGTCATTGACGCAGTCGGGGAAGTCCTGATCAATGTCTTCGTCATGATACATTCTCGGACGACCAAACACGACCGCGAGGTACTTGTCGATGGTGTAGGCCACCCAAAAGGTTCTCTTCCGACATTGCGACGTAATGTAGTCGACGGGAGGGGCCTGGCCGTTGCTGGCTCTTTTGCGACTTGCTTTGCGATGCAGACCCAACGCCGACACAATAGGAAGTACACTGCCAAATGTGTACCAAGCCTGATTCATGCGTGACGTCTGCAACAGGTACAAAGTCTGCAGTAGACGCGCCTGGGCGGATTCAAGCTTTGGAAGGCCTGTTTCCTGGTCCGTTAAGCCTGTGGCTCGGCAGAAATAGGAATCGCTGCGTCGTAGTTCGGAAGCCTCGTCTGGTGACGGCTCGGTGCCCCTTACCTTGATTTTGCGCAGAGTGACGATGGCAAGGATGGTCAAGACAATCGACGCTTTAGCGTGGCCAATGTCACGGTGTAACGGCACATTGTCTAGCGCGTTTGTTAATAGGACATTAAACCATTCAACCACGTAGCCCTGGTGCAGACAGCGGTAGGTCACCACGCAAACGTCAAAATAGAAGCGCATCATTTCCAGGCCGACTGATCGTTCGGGAAGAGGATGACTCTCGTGGGTTGCTGATGCAAAGGGCTTGTCGCCTGCCCTTGTCATGGTCTGGTGCTGTTCGTTTGTACTAGAAACATGGGGAACGACGCCACCAGCTAGTCTCTGAGATGACAAACGTTTCCATGCGCGGTGGAGGAAGGTTAAGCTTGACGTGGTGTCGAAGTACTGCCCCTCGATCTCGGCGATCTCGACCTCTGGCGACGCCCTCGACACTGGCTGGAGGACGCTCTCCTCGACGGCTGGCGAAGATTCAAGGGTAATGGGCTGCTGCGAAGGCCTTGCTCGAGGCGTACCGGTAGCGACAGGACTGCGGCGTGTGAGCTTTCTTTGCGCAGTGCGTGTGCGCATAAGCAAGAAGAGCACTTACAATTGCGCCTGGTAGGATGCTGGCACTAACCTGGCGTCAGTCGTTGGGGTCGCAACTTCAACTCCAGCTGATGGAGCCGGCGGCGGGGTCGGGGGTCTCCCGCGACGGTAGCTCGCATCGTAGATGCAGGCGAGACGCTTCTTGGTGCAAACGTCGCAGGGGATGGTGCCGGAACACTTCAGCTTTTTGGCCTTGCAGTAGTCGCATGCGCGGCTGACTTTGTGGCTCCGCCGGCGGTTTGCGGCGGAAGCTACGGCGGAAGAAGGTAGAACTGGAGACACGGACGGACCCGACTCCGACTCTTCGCGGAGGTAATGGCCGGAGGAGGGTCTTTCGGGTAGTGGGCGCGACCTCCGGGAGGAGTCCGACGGCTCGGGGGAGGGGCCCGTACTTGGACGACCTTCAGGCAGGGTGCGCTTCTTGCGGGATGATTCCGGGGGTTCAGACAGGGTCAGGCCGTCGTCAGGACGTCCCTCCGGCAGTGGGCGCTTTCTCCGGGATGGCTCCGAGGCCTGGGACTCTGACTTGCCATCGTCATCCGCGGGTCGACCTTCGGGGAGTGGGCGTTTCTTCCGCGGAGGTGGCTCCGTTGGGGTGCCGCTCGAGGGCGACGGCTGAGAGACGTTGGACGACGGGGTGGGCGCGGCGCTGATGGATCCAGCTGGTTCTCGGGTACGGGCATCGGGGGGCGCGGTGGATGGTGTTTGTTGTGTTGTTGGTGTAGGCGGATCGGGGTTGTCTGCCATGATACTCTGGACGGTCATGGAAATCCGACCCTCCGACGCGTTTGCTGACATGAGTGCGGTGCGGTATCCACTGAGTCAAGTCCGTCTTGTCCCGGGATGGATGACCGCGTCAGGTGTCGCACAGGTGTCAGTCCAACGGGGAGTGTCGGACGGCTTTCTTTCTCTCTCTGTTTTTTCTCTCTTGTCGGTCCCTCACGCTTCCTCTCCCCACGCCGACAACTTGTGTGGGTCGAGAGTATCGTCACCAATGCTCTCCAGAAAAAGGGCGGCTTCCTTAGATGCGATTCATAGTTGCCGAGGCCTAGTGAGGAAGCGAAAACGAGGAGCAAGAAATTGGAAACGGGCGTGCGCGACGCGGTGCTACGTCGGGGGGCAGAACTTTTGATGTGAAGCCTGCAGCGATGGGTTCGATTCGGAAAAGCAACAAAACGCCAGGGAGGCTAGGTTTGGTTTGGTTTGGTGGTGGTGTGTGAATGGAGTGAAGGACTAACTAAAGAAGAGAGAGACTCCACCGCGGAAGCCACGGCGGGACAGCCACTCGGCAGCACAGCAGCAGCACCAGCAGCAGCAAAAAGAGAAGATTTCTGTGCAGCAAAGCCACTTCTCGATTAGCCTTGGACCGATGTGGTAAAAGGGGGTGGAGGTGGCTGATGATCGGTTGAGTTGGATCGATTAGCTAATCGAGATCCAAGGATTCAAGGATGCGAGACGAGACGCGGCGCCGGAACTGGGGGGCTTCGGCTGGAGATCGCGGCCGAAAGACTTTCTGTGTGAGTGTGAGTATGAGTGTGTGTGTATGTGTCTGTCCCTTTTCTCTTCTGCTTTCTTTCCCTCTTTTCTGTACGGATACGAGTGTATGTCGGGCATGTAATAGGTACAGAGTACAAGAGTACAGAAGTACAGACAAATACATGAAAAGACGGGAAAAGAGTCAGGTCGCAGACTCGACTTGGCCCCCGTCCTAGGGGGAGACAGCTACTTTTACGCGGCAAAACGACCCCTTTCACCCGTCGCACATACACCTGGACCCCGGACAACCTACAGCCCAACCCGCCGAGCAGCAGGAATAAAGCTCCCGTCCTGTCTCAACACGGCAAAGACGCAGCTCTCGGGTCTAACCCTCTACCTGTGCATGCCCGCAACAACAACAAAAAGGCAGTGCGGGGTGTGTCTTGCTTCTCTACCTACATACTAGCTCTCGCTCTCTGCTCTGGCTCTGGCTCTAGCTCTGTCCCCTCTGGCTTGAACTCTCAACCTTGCTGCCCTACAGTGAGTCCGAGCACAGAGTTGGATTCCGACATCCTCCTCTCGCTTCACATGCCTCACATCCAGGTTGTGGCTTCTTCCGTACCGGCTGGGACCAATTGGATTTGTTTCCGGCCATCTGCGATCGACTTAGCCACGTGTGGAAGCTGCTTACCATCTGATTGTGTAAGTTCGTCTTGCAGCTTAGAAAACGCCCTGACATGTCTGGGCCTGGGCTGGGCCTCTGGGACACAATTAACAGTAAAACCCAAACAGGCAGAGAGAGACAAAGTGCCCGTTGTGTCGGTAGCGGCGTCCCGTGTGTCTCGGTATCATATCTCGGCTCGGTGTTTGACCACGGCTTTGCATATCTTCTGCCCGCCTGCGAAGGGGGAGGCACAATTATCCATGGATACCCACAAGAGTTGTGCAAGTCTCGGGTTCACTAACCGTAAACAACACAGGTCTTCCCGGCCCTTGAAAACCAAGCCCCTCACAGCAGCCAATGACAAATACCTCGGTATTGATTGCTGCTCTCTCTTGAACGTGCCACCGTGAGGACCGCGGCACGTAAATTAATTAGCTGTCAAATTCTCTCTCGACTGAAGCTCTGATCCCTGCTGCACATCGCTGCACAAAAAGACAAACCGGTAGCTGAAAAGAAAAAGTCCCGCAAAACCTTCATCAGGCACACCTACCGACACCTCACACACCACCACCACTCCACCATACGCGAGTCTGGCGGCGGCACATGAACCACCCCGCAGATCAACGCGCAAACTCACTGATGATGACTGATGCTCGCAATCCTGTCAAAACCTCAGAAAGGTCAAAACGCCGCCCGGATAGTAGATCTGCCCATCGGACGATCGGACGGACGGACCATCTCTCCTAAATCCGGGAATCCTTCGCAGTAGTGCCCGCTCTCCTCCGTGACATCCGCCCGGTCCCTGTCCGCTCGCCCCTCTAGCCACGGACGGCGGCTCAGAGAATTGCACCGCGTCGTTGCAACCGTTCGACCGTCTCCCCAGCTTTTGACCCGCTAAGAGCTCTGCCGCCTCAATCATCTCAATTCGTGGTGCCGCCTTCTCTGCCGTTGCTGCCCTCGGAAACTCTGTTCCTGGGTCCTGACGTCAATCTTGCGACATTTGGCACGGTCCAGTCGCCCAAATCTCCGACCTGCCAGATCGATATATATCAGACGGGGAACCCCATGACTCTACCTTGACTCGTCCAATAGTGCAATCCGGCAACGCTTTTCCATTTCATAGCATCATACAATAATTATCAGCCATGTCGCTCGAAGTTTTCCATCTGGGCCTGTCTCAATCCGAGAGGATTGTGTGGTTGTTGGAGGTGAGTAGTCCGATGAGCGGTCTGCGCGCATTGCGACCTTACCCAAACTAACCCCGCATAGGAGCTGCAAGTCCCCTACAAACTGAACATCTATGAGAGAGATCCCAAGTCTGGACTGGCGCCACAAGGCTTGAAGGATGTTGTAAGTCTCGCGAGCGTCAGGTGATGCTACACATCAATGATCATCGATTGACCCCGCGCAGAACCCCGCTGGCACCGCGCCCTACTTCCGCGACAGCACCGTCTCACCGCCAGTCGAAATATCGGAATCGGGCGCCACAGTCGAGTACATCCTGACTGTGCATGGCCAGCCCAAGGTCGGCTCCGGCGCGCCCAGACTGAGCCGAACCCCCGACGACAAGGACTATGCGGCTTACCTCGAGTGGTTCCATTTCGCCAACGGCTCCCTCCAGGCTGCGATCGGTCGCGGCATGACCCTTCTGTTCGCTGGCGCATACGACACGCCCTTCGGACAGCGATGTGACCAGAAGATCCAAGCCAGCCTGAAGTTGATGGATGACCGGCTGGCGAACAACAAGTGGTTGGCGGGCGAGAACCTTAGCGCTGCGGACATCATGACGGTCTTCAGTATTACAACCATGCGTGGTTTCTATCCTGTGCTGGACCTGTCTCCGTACAAGAACATTCTCAGGTACCTGAAGGATGTTGCTGAGCGTCCTGCCTACCGCAAGGCTTTGGAGAAGGGTGACAAGGGCATGGAGCCGATGATTGGTCCCAAGGCCAAGCCTTTCATGCAATTCGAATCCTTCAGCGCATTCTTCAAGGACTTGCAATAGACTAGAGTCTTAGAACATACCAGCACTTACAAATACGTCAAGCAGTCTCAACTCAACCTCATATCGAAACCGATTGAACATCCCACTTGATGGCGAAACAAAAAGGACTCGATACACCTGGGGAAGATTGTGTCGACATGCGCCTCGGTGGTCAAAAAGATATTCACTTGACCAGCCTGGGGGTCGAACTCAGAATCTCCTGATGTCATGATTAATCGTAGTCAGACGCCTTGCCATTGGGCCAACCGGCCGTGATGTGTGAATTGTGTCTCCACCGAGGTGGATGCTGACAGCCGCCAGCCGGAGCCGACTTGAGAACTCGGACCGCTCGTGCGCGGACGGCTTTGCGGACCTAAACTTAGGATGAAGGTCTACGTTGAAACGTCTTACAGGATAAGACATCTTCCGCTTTCCTTATAGTAAGCAATCAAACAAAGAAAGTGCCATTCAGGGCACGGTCTGGCGGTATCTGGTCTTTGAGTCAGGGCGCAATCGAGGCTAACCACTAGGTAGATTTACTAGCGATCAAGGGCAAGCCACCGGGAGCGATGATATTAATTAAAGAAAAAAAAGACACAGAATCCATTTTAGCCAACACCCAATGCTCACAGAGCATACTTGAAGAGCGGGCTCTTTTCTCCCATGCGATCAAGTTCCTCGTCGGAATGTCTTTGTCTGACTTCGTCTTCAGTCATGAGCTCCTTCTTCTTGTTCCTCCTATATAACAATGCCTCCAACGTGATGACCGCAATTATTCCTGCCGACGCGAATCCGAATGAAGTCCCATACCCGGTCGGATACCTCGGAGCCTCCTTGTCCATGTAGATATAGCTACCGATGAGGCCACCAATGTTGCCGACACAGACGAGAAAGCCGATGCTGATTGCTCGCTTGGTAGGACTCGGGGTGTTGGCGACGTTCCAGGCGTTGACTCCTGGAAGAATGGGGTACATTCTGAACGCATTGCTGTTAGTTCCTTCCTGCTTATACTTGATTTTTTTCATGTGCATGTGACGTACCCGAAGCACGCTAGGCAAATGGCAAAGTAGTTCAGAGCAATGTTGTCCTTAATGTCCTCGCTCTTAGTAAATAGGATGGTGAACGCAACAACCAGGAGCAATTGCGGGCCGAGGATGAACGGCATTCGCCAAGAATATTTGTCCGCAAAAACTGAAAACAGGTACGCGGATATAGCACCCACAGCATACGGCGGGATCGTCAACAGCTGAGCGTTGGCAGATGTGAAGCCCATGTTCTTGATAATCTGAGGCATCGTAAACTTAAGTGCGTAATTTGGAACAGCCTAAACTTGAGAGTTAGTGAAGTCCAACAGTGGTGCTTGGGGTCTCCTGAGTCGTTGTACTGACGTTCGACCAGTTGGCCAAGACTAGGAGATAAATCTTCCAGTCTGTCAACACGGAGAGAAATGCATGCTTATCGAAGTGATGGTCTCGGAATTCGTTGGGTCGCACAACCCGCCGGGCTTGTTGTCGTAGTTCCAGAAAGCGGATTTCTTCGGGTTCGAGCCATTTGGAGAGGGCAGGAGAATCCACAAGAAAGAAGAAACACATGACACCTATCAGGACCGTAGCTAACCCTTCGAGGATGAAGATCTTGTTTTGTCAGATGATTTGTACGGCCTGGAAGGATGAAACCAACCTACCCATCTCCAGCCCTCGTATCCGCCCACTCCATCCATCTTGGCAATTGCAAACGCCAGGAGACCTGAAAATGCCCCTCCAGACGCGGCAGAGGTGTAGAGAATAGCGATGCGGGTTTGTGTCTCGTTGGGGAGGTACCATTTGGAGATGATCAGGATCGCACCAGGGAGGAAACCGGCTCTGGAATGTTTCGTCAGTTTTGACGAGATATTTTCAGTTCACATTTACATACTCGAACAGACCGAGGAAAATCCTCACGGCAACCAAGCCCCCAAAGTTTTGGACAACTCCATTGCACGTCATGACAATACCCCAACAAATAACGATTCCGCCAATGTAGAGAGATGGTCTCTTGAACATGTGCAGCACCATATTACTGGGGACTTCGGCCAAGACAAACGGGATGAAGAAGACGGACAACGCGATGTTGTAATCGACTCCCGTCATATGGAGACTGTCAAGGAGGCCTTCGATCTTGGCATTTCCAATGTTGGTCTTGTCCAAATAGGCCATAAGGTAGAGGAGGACAAGCATTGGAACTAGTCGAAACTAGGGATTCAATATTCGTCAGTAATAGGTAGGCAGAGAGAGAGGAGAAGTCGGGTCGAGACTCACATCAACTTTGCGGACAGCCTTCTTCTTCCTTTCCTCCGGGAAATTGGCGAGGAAGTCTGCATCCTCAGGGCTCATGCCGCTGTTTTGTTGGAACTCATTATGGGCAACAGAGTCCTTCTCTTGAGCAACGTGCTCGACGTCGGAGCGGTCAGACGATGCTCGTACAGCCGTCATGTTGACGGCTTCAAAAGCAAAAGGAATTGTTCAAAGAGTAGAATATCCTCTAGGCAAGCTAAAGAGAATGACCGAAACACCACCTTGTGTACGGCAGGAGGCAACTTGGCAAGAGGGAATGTTGAAGTGTGTCTTCTTTATAGCCAGAAGACACCTCAACAACTTGTCTGGGGGAGATTTCCTGGGGAAAGGGGATTGGTCTGCTCAGAATGCTCCGAGCTGAGCTGGAGTTGCGGGGATCAACAAGGAGGAATCTGGGGAAATATTCTTGGCGCCGGCGTCCTCCGCACAAGAGGACTCGGATAAAAATTCTGTTAGTCCCTCTAGCGTAAGACCACACGATTCGAGGAGACCCGGAGAACCGGAATACTCTCATACTCGGAAACACACAGAACATGACAATCAGGCACAAGGAATTGAAACCAATTTCTCAACAGTCGTGTCATGCCAGGGCCTCGTCCACTGTGTGCCACTTCGCCGGGTACCTTTTACCACTTGTTATTACACCAAGCTTCCGGGGTGCATCGACTATGACACACGTGTTGCGTGGGGATGGGGTCACATTCCATCTTCTCCAGTCAAGAACGATCCGTTATCTCCCCGGGACCCGGTTAGGGCGCGAAAATCAGCCCAAGGTTTGCTGCAGGGCGTGGTGGCGCTGGTGTTTCCAGGTCACGAGTCGCTATTCCGAGTTATCTCGGACTTGGTGTCCGGACTCTTCCCGGAAAACTTGGCCCCCCGCCCCGGAGACGCGGGGAAGCGGGGAGAATCAACCTACACGATCATGCTTTCCGGGTGGCACATCATAACATGAAACTGCTAGAGGCGCTTCAAGTGTCGATAGACGCGACTTCGGCTTTTCGTGAAGCGCGAGGTTGTCACCGCGAGGGTTATCCTGAGAGGCTCTTTGCATTATAAAACAGACAAGATGTGACCGATATCAAGCTCGACTCATCTTCACTACAAGCAACTCAAGCCCATTCGACATTAATCGAATCATCATCACTTTCTTATTCACAAGAAAACAAATCAAAATGGGTTCTCAATCAGTTAGCCTTGACCTCCGCGGCCTCACCCCTGCCCCCATCACTCCCTTCACCAAGGACGGCAAGGTCGACTACGATGCCATTCAACGCCTTGGTTCCTGGCTCGGCAGCATTTCCGGCGTCAAAGGCTTGGTCGTTCTCGGCCATGCAGGCGAGGGCACTTTCCTGACGCAAGACGAGCAGGTCGCCGTCATCAAGGCCTTCGTCAAGTCCGTCGACAACCGCATCCCCATCATTGCCGGCATCACCGGCGAAGGTACCGAAGTCGCCGCTCTCGAGGCCAAGCGCGCCCGCGAAGCCGGTGCCGCGGCCGGGCTACTGTACCCTTCGCACGGCTGGCTCCGCTTCGGATACCAGCCGGGAGCCCCGCAGGACCGCTACAAGGTCGTCTACGAGGTCAGCGGGCTGCCCCTCATCCTCTTCCAGTACCCCGACAACACCAAGGCAACGTATAACCTCCAGACTCTCCTAGATATCTCGGCGCAGCCCGGCGTGTTTGCCATGAAGAACGGCGTGAGGAACATGAGACGCTGGGATACGGAGATCCCCGTCATCCGCAGGGAGCGGCCCGACCTGCAGGTACTCACTTGCCATGACGAGTACCTCCTCCACACGGTGTTCGATGTTGATGGCATGCTTGTCGGATACGGTAACATTGCGCCGGAGCAGCTCATTGAGATGATCAAGGCCGGCAAGGCAAAGGACTACCCCAAGGCCCGCGAGATCCACGACAGGTTGCAGCCCGTCACGAAGGCCGTGTACCACAGAGGATCGCACATGGAGGGCACCGTGGCGTTGAAGCATGCGCTTGTTGCGCGGGGTATTCTCGACCATGCAACTGTGAGGTCACCTCTGTTGCCTTTGGAAGACGGTGCGGAGACGGAAATCCATGCTGCTGTGTCGTCTGCAGCCCTGGCGCGGGTCAAGGGACTGTAGTGATCGGTGGAAATCAGAGACATGTCAACGGTTAGAGATGTTGTGCGACTCAAATAGATGGCAATACAACCACTTCTTAGATTAAAGCCGATGTTTACGCGATTGGATGCCTCATGCACCCTGCAAGAGTGAAGCTCACCTCCCTGTCCCGCGATGCCATGACGAGGAGAGAATGAAAAGCGATTTCCCTGTCTGCATGGTGACCAAAGATTAGTGCCCAGACAATTCAATGATTCGCCCTGACGAAGATCTAGATTCCTGGGGGCCAAGCCACCGACGGAGACGGTGTGCTCAGCCCGCTGTTAGCCTGCTGTTAGACCACTCGGGACTGAGACATCCTCCTTAGTTCTCTGCACATCATTTCCATCGCTTGAACCCGTCAAAGACGTCGTGCATGAGACCCGAACCCAGGAAGCCGGTGATGATGGTCATTGACACGCCACTTTTGCAGGTCCCCATCGCATTCGCCAGAATCATGCATTGATTTTGTGCATCTAGCTTGAAGCCAAGTCTCGGGAAAGATCTAGTTGCATGCTCCGACAGGGCAGTCATAGCTCCAATCGCTGGCTCTCACCTCGGAAAATGAGTCGAGCCCACGAAGCCTCTTGTGGCGAAACACTAAGCCAGGAGCAGCTTGCATAGTGGCTGCCGATAGCACGAGAAGAGCACATGTCGGGGCTGCAGCGGGCGTCGCCAGTCCTTTAGCACGTTGAGTTTCTCCTTTGATGCCATTGAACACACGCAAGACAGGTCCGGCAGATCAGAACTTTTGCAGTCCACTACTTTAGAACACATGGGGCCCTCCTCATCCATCCTCTTGCCTCGAGGGCCTGCTTCCATTCAACTCTCACTCATCCAAAGCAACAATGGACGGAATTCGTTTGGTGCCAGACATCTCCTGGGCAGGCGTTTCGTGGCCCCAGCTCCTTGGCGTCGGGTTCGCATTGTGGCTGCTCTATGGAGGCTTGCTTGCCATCTACCGCGTCACGCTCCACCCGCTGGCAAAGTTTCCCGGACCGAAGCTTGCCGGAGCAACATTTTGGTACGAAGTATGGTATGATGTGGTGCTTTGGGGCCGCTTCACTCATGAGATCAAGCGAATGCACGAGATCTATGGTATGAGGTTTCGCTGGTGACGTGGGGAGCTTGGCTAACGAAACTGTCTAGGTCCCATCGTTCGAATCAACCCTGACGAGGTGCATTGCAATGACCCAGAGTTCGTGGAAGCCATCTATGCGAATGGCGCGAAGAAGCGCAACAAGTCAGAGATGTTTGTCGCTGGTTTTGCCAATGAGTAAGTTGGTCTTGAACCCCGTTTGGGAAGATGTCCCCTGCTAGATGAAAATAAGGCTTGCTAACGTCTGGCCTCAAGTCTGAGAAACGTACGCCGCCACTGAACGTCAACTTGAGAACTAGCTTCTAACATGTAAGATAGGGAGGCTTCGGAACCGTAGACCACGCGCATCACAAGCTCCGACGAGCAGCGGCCAGCAAATACTTCTCGCGAACCCAGATTCAGAAGCTAGAGTGGGTGATTCACCAACATGCCCAGCGGCTGGCGGACAAGTTCCTTGCCTATCGAGGACAAGGTCCATTCGATGGCGCCTCCGCATACAGCTGCTATACGGCCGACATCGTCAGCGATTACTGTTTTGGCGAGGGGCTCGGGTTTCTCCAGCAGCCCACGTGGGAACCGAACTTCAAAGAAGCTGTTTACACCATGTTTCATTTGATTCACATCATGCGACACTTTCCGTGGACGACGAGACTGATGGAGATGATTCCTGTGTAAGCAAACGAACATCCAAGAGTGGTGGATGGATTCGAGTGGTTGAAAGACCGTGACTGACTGACGAGAAATAGTTGGGTGATCAAGCCGCTCTCTGCCAAGATTGGGCTCCTCATGGAAACGGTCAAGATCAAGCTCCCAGAGCTGGTTAGGCAAACGAAAGCAAGGCACGAAAACGGCATCAAAAGAGATCGCGTGACAGTGCTGCACTCGTTGCTCGAGTCGGATCTGCCACCGGAAGAACTCACTGTCAAACGACTAGCCGGAGAAGCAAATGTGTTCCTTTCTGCAGGAACCGAGACAACGGCATCGGCTCTTACCATATGCACGTATCATCTGCTCAGAAATCCTGACGCCGTCGCCAAGATCAGGGCGGAGCTTGCAACCGTGAATGCCGACCCCAAGGAGCTTCCCAGCTGGGCGACACTTGAGGGCCTCCCATATTTCAACGCTGTCCTGATGGAATCTCTCCGGCTGATGTACGGGTCGCCATCAAGACTGCCAAGAGTCGCACCCGATGAAGACGTGGTGTACCAAGGCACGTGGACACCTCCGGACGGATCGGCGCCGGTCGACGTTTCTCACGTCATTCCGCGGGGCTACGCGTACGGCATGTCGGCGTATATCATGCACACGGACGAGCGGCTCTTTCCGGAGGCCTCCAAGTTCCTCCCGGAGAGGTGGCTCGACGAGAATGGCCAGCGAAAGAAGGGGCTGGAGCGGTTCCTGCTTACGTTCTCCAAGGGAAGTCGGCAATGCCTGGGAATGCAGTAAGTTTCCCCCAAGGTCATGGACTGCATGATCCGAAGTTTTCACACATGGATGTCTGAGCTTCTGCTGACCAATGCACGCTTTGATTCTAGGCTGGCGTACTGCGAGCTTCATGTCGCGGTCGCGGCGGTGGTGTTGCGCGCACTGCCGTACATGCGACTGTACGAGACGACAGACGTTGACGTGGAGTATGATTTCGACCTTGCTGTCTCAATGCCGAAGAAGGGGAGCAAGGGTGTTAGACTGGAGATGATTTGATGACGACGTAGCATGCGGCGCTTACTGGCCAGAGCTCCATTAAGCTTTGGTTCTCCTATTTCGGATGGAAAGATGTGAGTTTGGATGAGATTGGGGGAGCTACTGCGGCTTGCTGGGCACTGTATGGAAGAAGCTCTCGTGTAGCTCTTCGTGTTCAGCCCTACCCTATCTATGTTTTGTAATGACAAGCAATTCTTCTAAGCTGACATGACGATGATCAACGTTTGACGTGGCAGAGCCAAGAGATGTAGCCAGAGTGACGGGACTGATGGAAGAGTCTGCTGTGAAGACCGAGAACGGGAACCTGACACCCAGAGAACAAAGCGAGGGAGTGAGGGAGGGAGTGAGTGAGAGTGAGAGAGAGAGTGAGAGAGTGACTGAAAGAAGCGCCGAGGGCATCCGTGCGGGTGTTAGCGCCGTACTGTGTCTCCCGCCCAAAATATAGCAGCCCCACACGGTCCCGAGCGCCGTGGTGGCCCGGCGCCGACTCCCCCCACCCAGCCAGGCCCCGATTAGTGCAAAATACGCGGCGAACGGGCTTTCCCACCGCCGACGCCATCTATCCATCAATGTCGGCCCAGTCTAAGAAGATGCTATGTCCAATAGAACTTAGCAGAAAAGGGACAGAATGCTCCCGTTCCAATATGGGTTACTACCGCGCGCGAGTATTACCAATGCGCCGCCCAACCCCCTGACTAAGGCTCTCTCGCGCTCTTGTTGAAAGCCATCAGGCTCTGTGTCTGGCAGTCTGCCCCTCCCCTGGTTAATGATCTGCTCCCCTAATGCACCGGCGGCATGGGCCTAGACTCGATCCGACTTGGAGAGTCGCACAGAGGGGAGAGACCGGTAAATGGCCTGTGAACTCTGAACACTCGACACGGGACATCTCCCGCTGCTTAGCACAGTACGGCGGGTGCGCGCACCTTGATCAAATTACTTACTCACTTACTAATTGGATATCGATGGCCTGCCTCATCTGGCTCATCCCATCACCTCGTCGTTCTTCTCAGATGACTCCATCCGCGGGTCTCCATACAAACTCTTTTTTGCAAGAATAAGCTTAGCATGGAGCCACTCCGTCTCCATCTTTCCAGGTTGCTGCTCTCTTCCTTACCTTCACGCACCGCGCGCGCTACGCTAATGCCGTGGCACCCGCAGCGCCGTTGCCTTGACTCGGCCAGTCGGACCCCTGCCGCACCAGCGCCAGAGGTACCCAAAGACACCAAAAGACACCAAAAGACACCAAAGGCACCCTATCCCTGTCCAAATGCCGTCCCCAATGGGATCCGGATTCGCGATGCTTTTTCCCAACGCGTGGCTCCGAATCTGACCTCTGAAATCCTGCCCGTGGTCTGACCACTGTCCCCCGAAAAGCAAAATGCCTGGTGACTAAATCAATTTCGCTTGTCCCGCCATAGCTGAATAATCCGAGCGCTCCCTCGTCTGAAACATTGGATTGCTGGTCCATGAAGGGTCCAGAAAGGAAAAGCCCGAACCGCAATGCGTGTCCCCGTCACTGTTCGGCCGAAGTCTCTTCCTTCACATTGGGGGAGGTCGGTGGTGGTACATACCCGCCCTCTTGCTTGCTTCCTCTGTGCTTACATGGGTTACAGTCCTAGACTTCTACGAGGCGCCAGCTAATTAATCCTCTGCCTTTGTGTCGATAAAAACATTCATTATCCCCTCCGTTCCCCCCAAGCCCAGCTGCGCCCATATCTCTTCGTACTTCCTTTGTTCTTCCCGCATCGTTTGGCGTTGTCATCTTCTCCCATCGCCCTAACCATCCGCACTCCCCCACGGCATCCCCGTTCCGCTCCTTAGCCTGCCGCCGATTAAATACCCCAACAAGCCGACGACTTTCATATCTCTCCCTTGAGGAACAGCATAACCTGTGTTCATCCCGCCAGACCAATTCGCTTCTTACCCTCTCAACAAACCTCACACTCTCCGTCCCGCCAACAAAATGGTCAAGCAGGTCGTCATTCTCGGCGCTGGCTACGCCGGCCTCGGTGTCGCTCACAAGCTGCTCAAGTACACGCAGCCCAAGGTCAAGGACCTCAAGGTCATCCTCGTCTCCCCCTCGACCCACCTTTACTGGAACTGCGCCGCCGTCCGCGGCCTCATCCCCGGCGAGTTCTCCGACGACACCCTCTTCAACCAGATCAAGCCCGGCTTCGACAAGTACCCCCAGGACGCCTTTGAGTTCGTCCTCGGCAAGGCCACCAGCTTCGACCCCTCTACCAACACCGTCCAGGTCGAGACCAACGAAGGCCTCAAGTCAATTGAGTTTGCCGAGCTCGTCATCGCCACCGGCTCCTCCCTCGCCAGCGGCCTGCCCTTCAAGACCGTCGGCACCCACGAGGAGACCCTGACTGCCTGGCACAACCTGCAGTCCGAGGTCAAGGCCGCCAACTCCATCATCGTCTCCGGCGCCGGCGCGACCGGTGTCGAGACCGCCGGCGAGCTCGGCCACGCCTACGGCTCCACCAAGCAAATCACCCTCATCGTCGAGGGCGACGCGCCCCTCCCCGGCCTCCTCCCCAAGCTCGGCAAGATCGCCGCCACCAGCCTGGCCTCGCTCAAGGTGAAGCTCGTCACCAACGCAAAGGTCACCGAGGCCGACACCTCCGGCTCCCTCAAGTCCATCAAGCTCTCCAACGGCGAGACCCTCACCGCGGACCTGTACCTGCCCCTCTTCGGCGTCCGCCCCAACACATCCTTCATCCCGGAGAACCTGCTCGACGACAAGGGCAACCTGAAGCTCAAGCACGACCTGCGCGTCGAGGGCCTCAGGAACGTCTGGTGTGCCGGCGACGCCGGCAACCTCGAGGCGAAGCAGCTCATGCGCGCCGAGGGCCAGGCGCTGCACCTCGCCGACAACCTCGACGCCGTCCTCACCGGCCAGGAGGCCAAGGTCAAGGACCTCAAGCTGACGACGAAGCCCCAGATCTTTGTCACGATCGGCAAGAAGAAGGCGACTGGCCAGTTCAACACGATGAAGCTGCCCGGCTTCATCGTCAGCGCGGCGAAGGCCAAGACCTTCTTCACGGAGAAGGGCCCCGGTCTGGTCGCCGGCAAGAACATTGCCAGGGCGTCGATCTAAGGGGTCGATTGGCATGGATGATGATGGTCAGATTGAGATGTTTATGCTTCAGCTTTGATATCCCGGGACGCGTATTGTCATTGCCTACTCACACATGTGAGCATACGAGTTGTAATTACCTATTGGACCTATACCCTAATCACAGAAGACGCATAATGTTCATGAGATGAGTTTATTGTGCAGTAAAAATTTGAGATGTGTAAATCTGAGAGCTTTGTTTTGCCCAATGAGACGAGGTTCTAATTCCAGTCGACAGCGAGTGGGTTGTGGAGAGTTCATTTGGAACACTCACATGCCGATTTTCACTGCCCCTTCTTTATTCATGAAAGCCATGATTCCAATACGCATCTCGTCATGCGTTATCGAAGAGACTCAGAATCAAGAATCCGCACACTCTTGTCGTCTGAGATCAGCCCAATACCTAATTAGAAAGTCCAGCTGTAAGAAGACGAGCTGGCCTCAACCGCCGTGGAATTCTATTACCATTGTACATACGAATTGCAACCGAAGCCCATATTTTGGCCGTATTCCCGTCTAACCAGCACAGTACTGACTCTTGCTTCGCAGCCAGGCACCCCACTTCCACATGACCACCGGCACAATGATGCCCATCACAAGAACGATCCCAGAGAGAAGCGCATTCCCCCATGCTATGCCCAGCACATCATACAGCTTCGGCGCAAACAGAGGAAAACTGAAGCCAGCCATCGTTCTCACGAATGCGGCTGCTCCAGCAGCGCTCGCAGCATACCTCTCATACGAATCAATAACGTATGTCTGTACACACTGAAAAGATAGAATAAGCCCCGCAGCCAGGATCGCTGCGCCGATGTTTGGGACGATCCAGTGAATTTTGAAATGTGCCGCTATGCCGTAGAGAAGAAGACCGATGGGCGTGACTATGGCTGTCGGGAACATGAGAGGTATCCTGAATTCCGGAAGGCCAGTGTCGTTGTTTCTCGTTTTGAGCGTTCGGTAAACCTCGACGATATCAGTCTGGATCTTTGAACTGCGTAAGGAAAGCCAACACACCTTGTCGATAAGAGGTCCCGAAACTTGAAGTCCGATGACGAAGCCGACGCCGAGTGAAATGTAGTTGAGACTTGCCGGACCAGGTTCCTGGTCGTATTGCTCGCTCCACACAAGTGGGAACGACGCGAGGCTTGAAGCGTGTCAGCGATTGACTTCTTTTAGCATTTAGTTTGGGGGCCCAAGCTTACACGAGATACATCAGTCCGTAAAGGTAAGCCCTGTACAGCGCCGTGATCTGCAACGCTGGTTGCGTGAAGAGCATTCTGAACGGCCTGACCAAATTCTTTGCCAGTGTCTGGCCAAAAGTCCTGTCTGGCCGTTCATATTCGGTGCGAAGATTCTTGTTGCCGGTTACTTTGCGCAGCTTCTTGGCCTTTACAGCCAGGATTTTAGGTGCGTAGGTCTCGGATAGAAAGAGAAAGGCGAGGATTTGGACGACTGCATCGGCGATAGAGACTGTCCAGAAGATCCAGCGCCATGACATGTATTGGGTGAGATATCCAGCAGCTTCGAAGTGTTAGTTGAGACTTTCATGTTCGAGAAATGATGTCGTGGAACTTACCAATCGGCCCAACCGCTGGGCCTAGAAAAGGGGCAAGACTGTATATGGCGGTCGCCGTGCCTCTCTCTTCCGCTCTGAAGCAGTCACTCAGTACGCCACCGCCAAGCTGATGCTCATGTCAGCTGCCTCTCAAGGGAAACAGAACAAAGAATTGTGCTTACAGCTTGGGGTGCACTCCCGCCCAGACCGCTTAGAAATCGAAATGCGAGCATCTGTTCCTTCGACGTGGAGAAACCACAAACGGTGTTAAAGACGAGATAGAACATGTTGGCTGACTGAAGCACGACGACTCGGCCGTACATCTCTGATAGCGGTGCCAGAACAAAAGGGCCGACCGCGTAGGCGAGGAGGAAGATGGACATCAAGAGATAGGTCTCGATGTCTGACTCGACGTTGAGGTCATCAGAAAGAGTATCAAGTGCTGGCGCCAGCATTGTGGAAGACACTGGCGATATGAAAGTGAAGCAGGAAACTAGAATCGTGGCTGTCCATTTCTTGTGCTTGGGCCAGTTCTTGGGGTTCATTGGGTCTGACGGCCCAGACCACGTTACCTGTTGTTCGATTAGCGTTTAGTGTGAGGAAGAACAGGGTGCATCCTACCAGGTCTGGATCCTCGGGATCATCAGAATGATTGTCCTGTTCATGACTAGACTTTTCTGGTCGAGGTATCATTGATGGGTCGTTTTGTGAATTGTCATGGGACAGCAAGTGAGAACGGTCTGTTGGGCCAGGGGTCTCCAGAATAATATCGGAATGTTTGTTTCCGTGATTTTGTCGAGGGAATGAGCCGTCTGGGTCTTGCAGCCATGGGAATTTGTATGCGGTCCGTTCGTACTCTGAGAAAGAAGGGAGTCCCGGGCTCCATCCGCGCCACAGGCTGGACCGAGACCGGGTCAGGGTTCTCTGGAGGCTCGGGGCCATCTCTGGATCTGAGACTGGCATGTGAGGAATGAACTGATAAGCATGAGATTGAGACTTGTTTGCGGAAGCGACTGCCAAAGCGAGTGTATGGAAATACGATCAATGAAAAAAGGGACTATCACAACGCTATTCTGATCTTGATGGTTTCATATGCGCTTGAACGTTGACTGGGATACAATGAAGCGTTTCTTTATACTACAAACTGTCTTCGTGATATTTTACACTTGGCCAGGCAGAAGAGCATAGCCTCATGCACTTATGACGGCAGCGCCTCTGATGATGAGTATGGCTGGGCTGGAGACCGAAAACAATCAGCTCATTCCGGATTTCGTTTCCCTGTATTGAGGCCTAGGGTCAATATCCCTAGATCCAGCAGATCAGCTGCCAAGGGGAGAAGAATATGACTAGTCTGGGGCAAGCTGGTGTCCTGCTGGGAAAGTAGGCCGAAGCTTTCTTGGCGAGCCGATCAGCGGAGTCGTGGACCGCTACGTCAACTGTGGCTGATGATGCACGTTGGAGTAACATTCTTCTAGACTCCGCCTGGGGCTGCATTTACACACGCTTGAACCCTGGAAAACACGTCGATAAAGTTGAAATCCTTATTTATAGCTCAGGGACGGGTTGTATGATTGGAAGATACAGTTCGAGATGACACCTCAAGGGTTTGTTTCACCTGGTCGAGATACGAGATCTGGGCAAATCCTGATCGTGTGCTCGCTCGTCGCCGAGAACAGGCTGTGATAGTCACTGTGCCAATGAAAGCAGTTGTTTCAACGCCTACGGTGATTTACAAGACAAGCTATCTAGCGCCTTTGAAGGCTGTGCTGGGTGCTACTTGCGTAGACGATGTTACACCATGATGCTGTTGACAGCTCAGGAACGGTTCAGTCGGCAGCTCATCGAGGCAACGGACACGTGCAGGGCTGAAGACATCACCGTCCCTGAACATCTCGCGTGAGAAACATCACGCGATCAAATGTCTGTTTGCAAAATAGCAACCGGCGAAGCATCTCATAGCCACTCCGCGGCAGCTGGACGCGGCAGATTGGGTCTCTTGATTCTGACGAAGGTGTATGAAGCCTCAGCACGCGGGAATTCGACACCCGGCAGATCCATAGAATGAACACAGAGAGGAGTCATTGATCACCACCACTCAATCTAGGGTTTCCGTTCCGAAGCAGTATAAGAAGGTTCGTAAGGACGGACCATTGCTTCGACAAACCAGAACATACAACTCTTAGTTCACCATAACACTTATCCGATACATAACTCACTCGTTTTTCAACATTCGCTTTATCGTCTTCAAGTTAGTGCTTTGCAATAACACGTGCACTTATTACCTTCGTTAAACATCACGACCTACCAAACACATCCACATGGATTCTTCGACGCCCCAGGGAATGAGAATTCTCGTCTGCCCCTCCGGTTTCAAGGGCAGCCTTCAGCCAGAGGTTGCCGCTGATTGCATCGAGTCTGGCATTCTCTCTGTAGTGCCAGATGCTTCTGTGCGCAAGGTTCCCCTGGTTGACGGAGGCGAGGGTTTCACTAGTGCCCTTGTGTCCGCGACTGGTGGCACATTGCATCCAGTCGTTGTCACCGGCCCCGTTGGCGCTCCGATTGCGTCTTTCTTTGGCATACTGGGAAGCAAAAGCCCTGATGAGCCAAAGACAGCTGTCATCGAAATGGCTGCTGCGGCTGGTTTGAGCCTTGTCCCAACCCATCTTCGCAACCCCGGTGTTACTACCACGTTTGGAGTGGGCGAGCTTCTGGCGGCTGCAGCCGGAGCTGGCGCGAAGAAGATCATTGTCGGCTGCGGCGACTCTGGCACTTGCGACGGGGGCGCGGGAATGCTTCAGGCTCTTGGCGCTCGACTGATAGATCAAGACGGGCTTACGCTCCCTATCGCCGCAGGGGGCGAGAGCCTGCTGCGTTTGGCAAATATCGATCTTGGCGGAATCGACAAGCGCATCAAAGATGTCGACATCGAGGTCGCGGTCAACTGGAACAATGTTCTCAGTGGTCCCGATGGTGTTGCTAGGGTCTTTGGCAAGCAGAAGGGGTCGAGTGCCGAGCAGACGGAACACCTTTCAGCAGCTATGGAGGTCCTCTCTGTAGTTGCTGGACGGCTTCTCTGCGACAGCAATGTGGGCACCTCGCCCGGCGGAGGAGCATCTGGAGGGTTGGGCACCGGTTTGCGGCTGGTGGGCGCCAAGCTTCGGCCAAGGTATGAGGTGGTGGCGGAGTATGTCGACTTTGAAGGGCTGTTTACGGACTGCGACCTGGTTCTCACGGCCGAAGGAGGCATCGATGACCAGACACCGAGGGGGAAAATTCCGGGTGAGATTGGGACGCGGGCGAAGAAGCATGGCCTGCCGGTGGTTGCTATTGCTGGGACCATCGGACCAGGGGCTCGGGTCAACTACGACGTCGGAATCGATGCTTACACGTGTATCCTGCAACGACCAACCACGCTGGACGAGGCCATTGTGGAGGCGGAGAAACTGACGCGGGAGAGTGCCGAGTGCGTTATGCGAATGATTGTCGTGGGACGGATGTTGGGGTCCAAGAAGCCCTCGTCGACGGCGCAGGCGAAGCAGCCTGCAGCGTCGGCATGGGTTTGAGTTCCGAGTCACGGATTGATTGCAGTGAAGATGGTATGAGCCAAGACCGCAGGTAGAAAGCTAGATGTGTTAGTGTAAGCGAGCTGGAAGGGGTTCTGGGGTTCTGGACCAACAGTTGAATGAGAAATGACATTGGCACTAGCATCTTGGTGCCCTTGAGTGAAAAGAAGAAAGCCTTGGCATGAATCAGGAATTGGTTTCTCGAAACGAAGACATTACTGGCAGGAAATCAGGCCAGCCAAGCCGCTTGGTGTGGCGGTGCAAACTTGCGATATGTCTATCGCCGGATCGGACGGTCTTCACGTTGTAGCACCAGAGGAGCAGAAGAGAGGCAGGTAAGGTAAGTGACGTTGGAAAAAGGTTCGTCCCAAGACCCAAGACCCAAGACGGAAGACGGAAGATGGGAAGGTCTGGACGGCACACGGGACGGTGGATGGACGGACGATCGCCATCGCTCGCTCGCTTAAAGCCTTAACGCGATATTGCTTATCGTTATCAGATGAGGTCAAGCCAGAAATAGCAATGAACCCACTCCTCGACCCACAACTTGCCTTAAGCGAGCAAATCGTCACGTGTTTCTGCCGTCAATTGGCAATCTTGGCCTTCTGATTGGCTTCTGCACCGCCGCAGCTTCATCAAGGGCCAAGTTCAGTGGACGATCCGGGATGCTTCAGCGAATCATCCCCTGAAGAGCATCATCGTCATCGCCGTTGCGCAGCGCGTTCGTCCAGTGTCCTTGTGCTTCGTGTCACTCGGGCGGGTGCCCTTCACTGCCCTGCCCCGACCCCGCTCCCAGGTACCTACCTTACCTAGTTGGAGGTACCTACCTTACCTAGTTGGAGGTACCTACCTTAACCTTACCTCAGCTCCAAGTACTGTGGTAAACTCAGGGGCACATGCCACCTTCACCTTCACCTCGCCTTACCTGATCCATCACCGCCCTTTTTGACTGCATCTCTATTTTTATTCTCGCCTTAGACCACCACCACCATGCCCAAGAACGCGCCGGCTCCCGACGAGCCTGCCGTTACCTTCAGCTCTGGTTCCGACGCACCCGTTGCCTTGCGTATTCTCCACCTCAATGATGTCTATCACTTGGAACCCTCCAGTGCTGAGCCCGTTGGCGGTGTCCCTCGCTTCATCACTGCCGTCAACGAGTACCGCAGTCACGAGCGATTCAATGGCCAGCCCGAGCTAATCACTCTATTCTCGGGAGACGTCTTCAACCCCAGTCTCGAGAGCTCCGTCACAAAAGGTAATCCCTCACGTGTCCTCCGCCTGTCATGATGCTGTGCTGACGCGGACCCTAATAGGTGAGCACATGGTGCCCGTTCTCAACAAGATTGGCGTCGACTGCACCTGTGTTGGTGTAAGTGAGCCCGTTCTAACTCAATTGGCCGTGCCATTTTATTAACGCCACCAGAATCATGACTTCGACTTCGGAGTGAAGCAGTTCGAGCACTTGACCGCCAAGTGCAACTTTCCCTGGCTGCTCGCCAACGTCCTAGACCCAGCTCTCGGCGAAAATGTACCCCTCGGGAATGCCAAGCACACTCATATGCTCACATCCTCCAATGGCATCAAAATTGGTCTCATTGGCCTCGGCGAGAGAGAATGGCTCGAAACAATCAACAGCTTGCCTCCCGACATCATCTACAAGTCCGCCAGCGAGACGGCCAAGGAGCTTGTTCCCCAGCTCCGCGAACAGGGTGCCGACATAATCATCTGTCTCAGCCACCAGCGTGAGCCAAACGACAACAAGCTTGCCGAGAAGACGGACGGCCTCATCGACATCATCCTCGGCGGCCATGATCACTACTATGCGCACAGCTTCATCAACGGTACTCATGTTCTGCGGTCAGGTTCCGATTTCAAGCAACTCAGCTACGTAGAAGTTCGGAAGAAGGCGGATGGTTCAGGAAAATGGGACTTTGACATTGAACGCCGGGACATCGTCTCTTCCATCGCAGAGGACCAGGAGACTTTGAAGCTCACTGAGGAGTTGACATCAAAGCTCAAACACAGCTTGGCCAAGTCGGTTGGCTGGACAGCTTCTCCCCTGGATGCACGCTTCACAACGGTCCGAATGAAGGAGAGCAACATGGGCAACTTTGTCTGCGACGTAATGAGACACTATCACAACGCTGACTGTGCTCTCATGGCAGCTGGCACCATACGAGGTGACCAGATTTACCCGCCCGGCGTAATTAGAGTCAGGGATATTACCAATTGCTTCCCCTTTGAAGATCCCGTCATCTTCATCAGGGTGACCGGCCAGCAAATATGGGATGCCTTGGAGAATGGCGTCTCGCAGTATCCGGCACAGGAGGGTGAGTTCACTTCCTGGCACATTGCAAATTAAATATCCTTACAAGTTAGGCCGTTTCCCACAGGTATCCAACATTACGTATACGTTCGACCCCAGCAAGGAACCTGGCTCGCGCATTGTCGAAGCCACCTTGGGTGGAGGCCCAATGGAGATGGACAAGAAGTACACCCTCGCCACTCGTGGCTATATGGGTCGAGGAAAGGGTACGTTCAAGATCTGAAGAACTCTGTGTACACTGCTAATAACCACAGATGGGTACACCAGTCTCCTTGTCGAGCCGGAAGGCGGCACAGCTGAGGAGATCGTCTGTGAGGAGAATGGTATCCTCATTTCAGCTATGCTTCGCCAATACTTCATGAGTCTGCGCACTGTCGGCCAGTGGAAGAATCTCAGTGAGCACTGGGTTCAGGTAGCCGAAAAGTGCCACACTCCCGTCGAGCCGCGCAAGATGTGGGAGACACCCGCCGCGACAGGCACCTCAGACCCCAAGCCCGAGGTTCATTCCAAGTCCTGGGCTGAATGGATGGTCAAGAGACACGCTCTCAACACCAAGCTCCCCAAGGACGAATCGGATGAGTCTGATACGGAGGATGAGGCGGATACCATCGCGCAGGTCGACATGGAGATGCTTATTATGCGCAAGTTCTTCGCCAAATGGGCGAAGGCGGCAGGCGTGAAGGCCGAAGTCTGCGATCCCTTGCGTGAGGGCGAGTTTACTGTAGACTGGACACGGGTTATCGCACCGGTGTTAGAGGGGCGCATTAAAATGATTAGCTAAAGCCCAGAAGTATAGAAAAGCAATAGACAGCATGCATACCAGCACACATTCAGCCAATCTAGGCAGCATGGCCAGCATCGACCAGCTTTACGTGTAATCAACCCCTATAGGTGATGACCGGCAAAAGGATGGACAATCTAGGAATCGAACCTAGAACCTACCACATGCGAAGCGATCGTTATACACCTAAACCAATCGCCCATTATTATTGAATTACAACTGCCTTGAACTCGAAGGTGAATCAAACGATCCTACGGATGTGGTGTAGCCTAGAAATGTCTAGGATTTGTGGCGTCGAGTCTGGCCGCTGTGGTGGTGGCCGCATGTCTTTCAGCTGCGGGGTCATCAGGGATTTCACACCGAAGCTGAACTCCCCGGATCGTCGCATGAGGCTTACCTGCAGTCATCCCAGGGATTCAAATACCTAGAGAACGAACATTGCGTGTGATTGTAACGTCACTTGCTACGGACTGTCGCTGGTGAGCTGAACGATCTTCACAGCTAAGGGGCGAAGAGCGGGAGGACATCTTGCCGTATTACTAGCGAGCTGACCTTTCCCCAAATAGTAGGCGGGACAACCCTTGTCCAGGGTTCAGCTTTAGGAAACGGCCACGAGGGGAAACGTGGGTTCAGTTGTGTCTTGGAAAATCCAAGTTTGCTTTGGCGGTTAATCGTCAAATGACGCCATTCTTCAAGCTTCAAGACTTGCATGATCTGCAAGGGGTAGGAAAGCTTGACAAGCCCTGATGTCTAGACAATTATTCAGCCAAACTCTACAACACGACGGTTACAAGGCTAGTGGGGGGGGGGGGGGGTTAGGTACTTTCCGACTTACCGACGCAGTGATTCTGATGTTACAACTGATGATTAGGAAAAACAGCCCAAAAGAACCACCGCAATATGCAGTAATAATTGATGACATTCGTCCTCAACAACAAGCAGCCACCAATACCACTATCAGGCAACTTCGGTAGACTAAATGGTCGATCTATCACCTATGACAGGGGATATCGCGCCCAATTCTGTCACCTCCCGTCATTCTTGTCTTACAGTAGGCCGGAGAGATCCTGTCACTGTCTTACACTAGTTTCTGAGTATGTGAACTAGGTTCATCCCGTTGCTTATCCTCCATTCTGGCAGCGGGAGTGGCTGATCCTTCTAGAGTAAGTGGCTTTCTCAAACCCTGGAGAGTATTATTACCTCGTCCAAGTCAGTTTCAACTCGGTCTAAAGTCATGATAGTCTTCAGAATAGCCTTAGCTGAACTGCAATGACGCGGGCCAAGAACCAGAGCATATGCAATGCAACCCAAGGGAGCCGACTTTGAACGCTTACTTCGGTTACCTCGTGGTTATACGGAGGAACTCCTGCGCTTGATCTGAGTTGCTGACCCGACTCAGTGACTTCAAACGATTATAAATACTGCTCTCTTGTACGCTCAACTAGAACATTATTTTGAGCATCATAAACCTCAGTAACCCACTACAAACGCATCACCGAACAACTACCAAACATGCAGCTGCAATCTTTCCTCATCGCCGCGGTGTCGGTACCGGCAGTATTCGCCGCCGTGAACGAGCCATGCTACGGTTCAGGAGGCAGAGCTGGTTTGTCTCACTTCTCAGATCACACCTACACTGTCACTGACCAGAACATCAGGTGTCTGCGTGACCACTAGCAGCTGCTCATCCAGCGGCGGCACCACGATCAACGGCGCCTGCCCCAAAGACCCGGACAACGTCAAGTGCTGCACCAAAGCATCCTGCGGCAGCGGCGGCAACTGTCGCTTCACGAGCGACTGCGCAGGCACCTCTGTCGCCAACCAGTGCCCGGGTCCCAGCACCTTTAAGTGCTGCGACTCATCTGCCTCCGGCTTCGGCGGCTACGGCGCCCCGAATACCCTGACTGTGGGCGCTTGCAAGTCGGTCGCCGTCAACGGCGCCAAGAAGATTGTTGCGGCGTTCCCGAAGAGGGTTCGGGAGATCTTTTGCACGCGGGACTGTACTTGTCCTGGAGACTCGGATCACTGCTGTGGCAAGGCGACGGATATGATGTGCTCTGACGCTGGCGGTGTAAGTGGTATTGATACGACTCTATGGGATGACACTGATCAAATGGCAGACTCCCACCACTTCCGGTAAGGAGATTGCCGAATGGGTCATGAACAATCGCGCGACACTTGACTTGAAGTATGTCATCTGGGGACAGCGTATCTGGAATCCTTCTGTGGACTCTGTCAAGTCTTGGTCGGAGTGGAGGGGGATGGAGGATCGCGGCGGTGTTACCGCGAACCACTGGTGAGTCCTGATCCAAATATCCTTGAAGAATGGGATGCAAACTGACAGTTCTCCAGGGATCACGTTCATGTCAGCTACAACTAAGCATCAAGGATGAGATTCATCGGAGCAATTCTTGCTATTGGGCACGACCGCAAGGAGTAAGGGACTCAAAAATTGTAACCGTGATCAAAGAGGGCATTCTAAACCATCAGCTGTAATTATGTGACGCGGGAAGTCGACGCAAAAATCCACGTTGGCGTTGTAATGTTGACACCCACCGAATGATGTGATGCGTCTGGTGCCCATGAAGAGGAAGCCACAGCAGAAAGATTCGTCTTTGCTCAACATATCCTGGTATTTGTCCGAGTCATGTGGGTTATCCGGGTCTCGGCAATCACTGGTGAGTGATATGTGATATATGATATGCAAGAAAATGCTCAACAAGGATTGGGACACTCGCCATCGCGGGACATAACCACAGCTGTCAGCCTTCTGGTTAGGGGAGTTGAAAATGATTCAATAAGTGGTAAATTCTGGCTAATTACATTAAACATCCTCTTCAATCTTGTCTCGTAGTCAATTTCTAACTCGTGGTGCAGAGATTTACCCGATTCAAAGTGCTAAACGTTGCACCATGTTAGAAGTTCACCTGTTGGTTCCGCTGCATGCAACCTCCTCTGATACGTCCGGCGATGTCACTATTTGGGATTATGCTCCACGCTTCACGTCCGGAATCGAATGTTTACCGGAAACCTGCATGCAAGCTCGAGTCAAGGAGAGGGGTAAATGCAAGGACTTTTCGAAGACCCATGGATTTTCGTATATAGATAGTAACCCGCCCAACCGTTCGCGTGATAACCTTCAACATTCACGAGGAAACAAAATCCAGCGTTCCAGACCACGAATTATCTGACGGCATCATTGAAGAGAGAATCATGTCAGAGACGAGGGAAGACACCATTGGGATTGTCCCGGCTGCTTCTACGCAGCCAGCATTGGCACCGGCAGATAACACTGCAAACGCAAACACTGCAGACAACAACCCAGCCGTGCTTCTTGCGGAAGATGCAAGTTGACAAAACATATCAAATCTTTCTAGGGCATTATTGACATAAGTCTTTTTCCCAGGTGTCGGACGACGAGTCTGCTCGAGGAGAGGTTAGTGAAAATTCAATTCTACATTCGTCTCCACCTCCAACGATATGCCTTCTCTAACACGATAATATGTAGAGTATCGCATCGTCGAGCACCAGCGTGACTGAGTCTGTTCTTGAATATCGCATTGAAAATGGTCGAACGTATCACAAATACAAAGACGGCAGTAAGTGGACAGCCAACTGAGATCCGGTATGGGTCATTGGCACAGTATCTGAAGAGTAAAGAATACCATCTTCCGAACGACGAAAGGGAGAATGAACGCCTCGGTGAGTATCTTGATCAAAAATCGTCTGGATAATTGCAGCTGATGCTTGGGAAGACGTTCAACATAACATGTGGCTGCTTACTTTCGACAATCGTCTGGGAACTGCCCCGCCGAACGATCCTAAATCTAAAGTTGGAAGAGTTCTTGATGTTGGAACCGGAACAGGGATCTGGGCCATGGAGTTTGGAGAAGAACACCCGGATGCAGAGGTCTGTTGAAACGGTCCCAGTGCATCTACGCGCACTTTACTGACCTTCCACTTGTAACAGGTTCTTGGAGTTGATTTATCGGCCATCCAACCAGAATTGTATGGTTACATAACGATGTTTCATCATTCAACGGTATCTGACTTCACCATAGCACTCCTCCGAATGTCAAGTTCCAGATTGACGACATCGAGGAACCGTGGACTTATTCTCAACCCTTTGACTATATTCACAGTCGAACCATGACCTTCAGTGTGGCTGATTGGAAAGAATATATCCAGAAATGCTACGAGTTTGTGGATGAAATCTCCATTCATGTTTGACGTTTCACTGACATGAGACCGTAGCAACCTCAGCCCCAATGGCTACCTTGAATTGAACGAAGTCGACCTGTGGCCAAAGTCCGATGACGAAACATTGAAGGATGACTCTGCTGTCTTGAAGTTCGTTCGCCTTTGGGCAGAGGCTGCGGTCATGTTTGGGCGCCCATTCCAGGACATCAGAGTCTTGAAGGATATCATGATTGAGATAGGCTTCAAAGATGTTTACGCTCAGATGTTCAAGTGGCCCACGAATTCATGGCCTAAAGACCGAAAGCACAGGGAGCTCGGTTTCTGGAACCACGACAACTTCTGTGCCGGACTCGAGGGTTTCATGATGGCACCTCTTACGAGAGCTCATAACTGGACCAAAGAAGAGGTCACTGTTTTCGGGGTGCAGGTGCGCAATGATATGAGAAACAGAGACATACACGCCTATTCTGCCGTGTGAGTGCCCCATCTATACTCACAATGCTACTTTTATTGACCCCACGTAGATGGTCAATCTACGGGCGAAAGCCAGGCCACAATGAGGTCTAGAAGTAGACTCGAAAAGCTCAACATGACCATCTGAGGAGAACTTCATTGCAGTCATCTGTTTTCGCTCTCATATTTGGACTCGCTGCAGCAATCATAGTGACAGTATATGTGCATAAATACACATTCGCTTGGCCTAATAATAGCCCTCAAAGGTATCCTCATGATCCTTTGCTACTTTTGCAACGGCTTGCTTGATTGACAGGCTTCCATCACCGGGCCCCAAGATATCGAATGCGAGTCCGTGAGTCTTGTTGTTCTGCATGGACGCGTAGATCACCTTTGCAACGTCTTCGCGTGGAATGATGCCGACTGTTCCCACCTTTCCGGCTCGGATGACGCCCTCGCTGGGACCTTCTCCAAGACCACCCGGCCTCACGATCGTGTAGTCGAGTCCGCGAGCCGCATTTCCGACCCTCAACTCCGTGTCGGCCGCGAGCTTAGCTCGGAGAATGGGACCAATGATGCCCCACATACGGTCACTGAGCTTCTCATCAGCTTCCGTGTACCAATCCGGGACGGGCTTGTTCTCGCGGTCGCGGACGTCGAGGGCGCTGACAACAATGTATCGCTTAGTTGTGACATTGGCTTTGGCTAGGGCATCCATGGCGCGGATGGCGCCGTCGCGGTCAACGGCCTCGGCGGACTTGGGATCCTTGCCGCCGGCTGCCCACACCACCACGTCGGGCCGGGTGCCCTCGACGATTTTGATGAAGTCCGCCTCGGAGGCGGTTGCGATGTCCTGGACGATCGGCTTCGCGCCGATGGCTTTGAGATCCGGGATCTGGTCCGGGTTTCGGATGACACTGAAAACGGTGTGCGGGGTGGGGGCGCCCAGAAGGATCTTGGTCAGTTGGCGGGCAGTCTTGCCATTGCCGCCAAAGATGAGGGCCGTTGGCATGTGGAGGATGGATGCGTCGCCCATGGTTGACTATGTTTCGTACGTTTACTGAGCTCGCAAGGTGACCTATTACACTACACGAAGCAATACACTCGGAGTGGCTTGACTATTGTCTCGCGCCCATTGACTTCGATGACGGCATTATCCTTACAGGGTCCGTGGAACGGAAGAAACCCCGCGCCGGACAACACTCTCGGACAGCTGTTTTTTCCGTCTCCTATTCGCATTTGTAACAGGAGAATTCTTCTCCACTTTTAACACTTTTGTTCAGATTGCTCGGCCCTCATTGTCAACAAGAAATAGGTGTGGCTATGGTGAAGTTTATGCACACAGATGTCGCCGGAGCTCGCCATCGTCGGTCCCTCTGACAGCAAATACAACATATCATGGTAACTCGGATAACGGCACGAAAGCCATGAATGTCGAAATCCACCATCGGCTCCGAATGTTGGGCTCTCCCCTTACCTGCAATGTCTCCGATGTCACCTTCCTATCAATAACTGCACCCCTGATTGGTGCTGTTCCAGTTGACCGATGTCCTGCCAGCCACACTCCAGGCTTTAAATCTGCACGCGAGCACAGCAGTGTCTCTCATGCTATTTGAGAGAACTTCGGATTTCGGTATTGCCGCAGGAAAAGTGAACGAATATCCATGGTTCCCCCCAAATCCCATCAAAAGTCAGAGACTCGATCATAGGCGCTTCTGACTACCAAGCCACCACCCCCCTATGCGTTGTTGCAACCGGCCGCCCACTGCACCGTTGCGCTGATCGCCCGTATTCAGGGCTGCGTGATGGGTAATTCCAGCTGCCTTATTGGGCAGGAGGCGCTGCTCCACGCTTCGTTGGGGTTAGACTGGGGAGGCCTTGTCCCGGGAAATGAGCTAGACAAGCACTTAAGAAGAAGCATATCTAGGCGATCCACGACGGCCTGAACCGATTGGAAAACAGCCTTCCTATTCGGCCACTACGGGTGACATTTATAGCATGTCTCCAGAAGAATACGAGATCGCTCGCTTTCGACCCGTCGTTCATGGCCCCATGCCTGCAGGGACCAAGGGTCGCCCCGTCCAACGTTGCATTGCCGGATTCCTCCAGAAGGGCGAGAATCAAACCATAAAGTAGACTGTTCCCAGCGTAAGATGAGAGTGGAAGGTTGAATCACGCACCCGTCAGTCACTCGTTCAAGCCTTCGATCATGAAGCAGAGCCTCCTCGCCACCGTCGCTTTGGCGACACTCGCATCCACGGAGTACATCTGGCCGTCGATTTACGATGAGATCGAGGACCACCTCTCCCTGCAGTCCGGATACCTGCGCAGGGGCTTCATTGATGGTTGGGCTTCCTTCCTTGAATCAACACAAACTCACATGTACTGACATTGGCAAGGCGTTCTCACATGCGGTTTTGGTACAAACATCCAAGGCCGTCAAAACTCGGCTGAATGGATTCGGAGCGCCTTCCACGATATGGCGACCCATGATGCTGAAACTGGAACGGGAGGTCTTGACGCATCCATCTTCTTCGAGCTAGAGCGGGCGGAAAACATCGGCAAGGCTTTCAACAATACGTTTGGCTTCTTCAGCAGCTTCTACTCTGCGCGCGCGTCAGCCTCTGACTTATTGGCGATGAGTGTGCTTGTAGCCAGCTACTCCTGCGGCGGCATCAAGATCCCATTCCGTGCCGGCCGTGTTGACGCCCAAGAAGCAGGACCGGCAGGCGTTCCAGAGCCGCAGACTGACTTGGAAGCCACTCAGGCGGCTTTCACCAAGGCTGGGTTCTCAACGCAGGACATGATTGCCATGGTGGCCTGCGGTCATAGCCTCGGAGGAGTACACAGCACCGATTTTCCTGAGATCGTCGGCGTTGAAGCGGATCCCAACAACGACACCGTCGCTCATTTTGATGTCAAGTTTGACAACTTCGACAATGGCGTGGTCACGGAGTACCTGGATGGGTCGACGAAGAATCCTTTGGTTGCGGGAACCAACGACACCCTCAACTCCGACAAGCGCATCTTCGGCGCCGATGGTAACAAGACGATGCAAGCGATGGCCGACCCGAGCACGTTCCAGACAATGTGTGCCGATATCTTCACTCGTATGATCGACACGGTCCCCGCGAGTGTCAAGCTCAGCGACCCTATTGTCGCGACGGACATCAAACCCTACATTAACGGCTTGTATCTGAAGGACGACGGCAACATCTCGTTCGCTGGCCGCATCCGTATTCGCACTTCAGCCGAGACTGGACGAGACCCGACAGATCTTTCCGTGCAGTTGACCTATGCCAACCGCAACGGTAATGGATCAGAGGTGATCACCACAAGAAAAGCGACCTTCCAAGGCGGATCTGCTTCCGGACTTTGGCGCGAGTCCTTTGCCTGGTGGGAGTTTGACACCACTATTAGCCCTGAAACGGGTATCAGCAAGTTTTATATTCACGTAACAAAATCTTCCACGAACGAGACGATCACATACGACAATGCTGGAAATGCATACCCCATGGATGATGCCCTCCTGTACCAGGAAAGCCAGTCTTGTCTTGATACCAATGTTGTTAACGGACAGATGGCTCTCACTGTCAAGGCCTTTGTGCGCAAGGATCGTCTACCAGCTGCAGCAAGCGACCTGACCCTGGACCTCGTCAACGAATTCCGCCGACAAGGCGTTATCGTACCAAGACTGGAGACGGAGAAGATTCCTTTCGAGGCCGCAGGGGAGGAGAAGGAGCAGTGGGTCGCTTACAAGGCCTCTGGTAAAGTCAACGCAGATGGCTGGAACACCAGCTTTGATATCAAGCTGGGTGGAGACAAGGCGGTAGAAGTCGCATTCAAGAAGACCGGTGGCTTGGGATCAAATGTCTGCTCTTAGATGTCTATCTAACCATAGTAATTATAATATGATCGGCTATCCTATGCTTAATGCACCTTGTGTCTTAACGCCCCTATTAAAGAAGATCTTGTGTGGTTGTACTTGTTCAGAGGGTGTACAGGTTCGGAGATGTGCCCGAGCCGGCGAATCTTTCTAGAAGCTTTTTGTTGTCCCGTCTCAGAGTCCACTTCATCAGCATGCAGCCCAGTACGCTTGCGAGTGAGAACGCGACCATGAGTATCATAGCCTTGACATAACGTGGAGCATCCCCGGGCGAAAAGAAGTATGGGCTCCAAATATTGCCAAATTGACCAAAAATATTGATGATCGCGGTCGCGCAAGCTCTCTTCTCAGGTGTCTGGCTAACGGAGGACGCTGCCCAACCAAAAAGGATCGCGTTTCCTGAGAAGGCTCCCGATATGTAAAGGAATGATGCAAAGTATCGGGCCGGAACGTTCAGAGTAGCAGCGGAGATGATGAACCCGACAGCAGACATCATCATTGGAAGGCTGATGTGCCAACCGCGCTCGTTCCGAATGTCGCTCGAGTACGCTACAAGCAAAGAGAATATAGCACCAACTAAATACGGCGGAGCTGTGCAAAGAAGAGTGACTGTCCTGCTTCCGAGATTGAAGCCCTTGACGATGGTCGGGTAGAAGTTGTTGAATCCATACGCAGTGTGGTTGCAGCAGAGAATGAATGCCTAAGTAGAAGAGGGATGTCAGCAAGTCATAATCCGACAGTGATGATAAGAAACAAAGGTCGTTTTGAATGACTTACGAATACCCAAACTCGGTAGTCCTTGACTGCAGTTTGGAGCCCGTACCATAGCGAATTATTTGACTCTTGGTTTGAAACTTGATCCCTCGCCATTCTCTCAATCGCCACTTGTCGTTCTTCCTTCGTCAAAAGCCACGTTGCCGAGCCAGATTCTGACGCTGGGAAGTCTGGTAGAAGGAACATTGCCATAACTCCGAAACCGAAGCTTGCGACCCCTTCAATGATGAAAAGCCACCGCCAACCACTCACCCCATGAACCCCAGTCAGGCCTGAGTAGATACCAGCTGCGAGCAATCCTGAGAAGCTTGTAGCCAAGCTGATACCTGAATACAGGATCGCTGTGCGGAGAGCTAGTTCTTTCCTGGTGTACCAGCACGAGAGCAGGAAAAACGCACCAGGCCCAAAGGGTGCCTCGCTCACTCCGAGAAAGAACCGCACGGCAATAAGCCCGGAATAGCTATGAGTTGCGGCGGTTGAGGCTGATATGCAAGACCATGCGCACACCCAGAATGGGATATAGAGAGATGGTCGCACTCGGGTAAGGAGCATGTTGCTCGGCAGCTGCATGAGCATGTATCTAAATGACAGGTTAGTCACATTCTATGATGGGTGAATTTCATGGCTGTAACAAATATCTCGGCATTGAGATGGTAGATTGGCAGGACAGAGGGGCATGTTCTATCTTACCCGACGTTGAGAATGGAAACTGCTGTATTGAAGTTCTCGCCTTTGAGTCCTAAATCAGCCTCAAAAGTGTCAAGCTTTGCTTGGCTGCATTCGAGTCAGTGTTTGGTCACCCGATACGAGCGGTCTTCATGGGTAGCCTACGCGATGTTGTTTCTATCAAGATAGTTGAATAAATATAAGACCCAAATGATGGGCATGAGAGTGAGGTCGAGCTTGCGACGAAGACGTTTCTCTACAGCCAACCAGGCGTCGTCAATGACTGGAATCGCCATCTCGTGCTCGTCTGCCTTGGCAGTTTCCGCATCTGTAGTCGCAGACGCTTCGGCGTGTACGCGTTGTAGGACTCTAGTCTCGTCGACGTCTTTCGCCATCTTGGCAATGAGAGGGGTAGTCTCCCCCGGCGTTAGGTGAAGTTGGGGTTGCCGGGGCGCAGAGGAGTCAGAGTAGAGAGGGCGCATGGTTTTAACGTGTTCTTCCGGTTGCTGAAAACTTTATGCGGAGGTTGGAAAATCCTTTGCTTGGGGTGGTGTGTTAGCCGCCTTAGGCGGGGGTAATCCGGGGAGTGGTCGGCCGGGGAGTTTCTGGGGTGCAGCCGGTCGGAGTAAATGAGGGGTCTATTGGGGGAGACCCCTCTTCTAGTCTCGGTAGGGCCAGTCCGGTATCGCAATCGGGATCGCTTCCAACATGTCGAGATTTTGCTAGCCCGTGGTATTTTGGAGAACTTAAATGAGATTGCGTACTTTCTTAGAGTTGGAGAGGACGGGATGGTCTTGTTGACATTTGATAAAATAACTTCTCGTCGGGAAGAGCGACCACTGCGGCTCTGCCGGGCAATCGCGCAGCGTTAGGATCTACCATTCACGTGAAATTTGATGTGAATGGCGCAAAACCTACAGAATGACAGTCGCTTTGTGAGTGGGAGACTAACGGTCAGCAATTGCCGAATTAGCACGGCCATTAGTGGTAATGCTGTCGTACCGTCGATGCGACATCGGCTCATTGGTGCTATGCTGTCTCGTCATCTGTGACGAATAGTCAAAGTCAATTTACGAGCACGGATGTGTGGTATTATTCACAAATTGGACTGGACGGTGAAAAGTTGAGTTTTGATATATCATTAAAAAAAAAAAAGGAAATTGACACTCGATTTCGAAAAACATTTTAAAGATAGTACAGCACTTCCCCCTAATCGGAAGGTTAACACCGTCTGATATACCATACACCACACCACATTGTAGACCCAGGCTCTATGAAAGATCTGGGTTCTCTCCCCCGAGCCACTTGTAAATCACCTTAGAATCTTTACCCTGAAATTCCTCATGACTGGCAGCGTCTCTGTAAGCCTCGAGCATGGGCTTGCCCAGCACTGTTTTGGCTCCAACGTCTTCAGCGGTCTTGAAACCTAGTTCTAGGACTCCAAGACACAACTCAATTGAGAAGCCTCCCACATAACCGTGGCTAGCGGCGTTTGCTGGAGTCATTCCTGGAACTGGATTATTTATCTTGGAGTTGAAGTTCATTCCCGAGCTCGCGTTGATCACACGGTCCAACTTGCGTGCGTCGAGGCCGCCTCGTAGGCCGATATTGTAGGTCTCTGCTGTGGCCATTGCAGTAAGAGCTGACAGGTAGTTGTTGAGAAGCTTGATTTGAAGTCCAGAGCCCAGTTCCCCGCAGTGGAAGATACTGTCTTCACTTCCCATGAGTTTGCAAATTTCGAAGACTCGAGGGTAGAGTTCGTCGCTGCAGCCCACCATGAAGGACAGGAATCCTCTCTCAGCACCCATTGCACCACCCTGAATGTTTGTAGAAGATTAGAGGTATTGTAAAACAGGGATAAGACAGAAAGATTACATACCGAGCATGGGGCGTCGACGAACTTCCCCCACTCTCCGATATTGATGGCGTTTGCTACTTCCCTTGACGCCTTCGGGTCAATGGTGCTCAGCTCCAGAAACAACACCTCATGGCTCGGTCTTTTTCTGGCAGAAAGAAGACCGTGATCAGGGTGAAGGAATACGTCTTTGACGTGTGAAGCTTGAGGAACCGAGGTCATGATTACGTCCTGCCTGGTGGTCAGTTGCAGTCGATGTTAAAAAGCTGAAACCAGATCTTCGGAGGTCCTCACAGCAATTTCAGCGACTTCTCTAGGAGAAGAGACAGCTTTGACCCCGACACTATTGTGTTCTTGAACAAAACTGTCAACAGCTTGCTTGTTGACGTCGAAAACAACGAGTTGACTTGTTGGGGGTAGTTTAAGCCTGATGTTCTTGGCCATTCCATGACCCATTTGACCCAATCCTAACAAAGTAAGAAGTCTGAATGCGAAGAAACGCTACTAGGTCAGGCGCATTACCAATGAATCCATATGTGGTGGTAGCTGCGCTGGTCATGTTGTTGATTTGGAATGAATGACCCGCAAAATTGCGTAGTGTCACCGACTAAATTTTCTCGTAAATGTGTTGCCTCTTCCAGGTTTGGTGGTGACAGACAAATGTCGGTTCAAGTTGTGGACTTGGGTGGCTTCTGAATAGACTACAATATAGTTAAATGGAATTGCCTTTCGAAATATGAGAATGCACAAGTTGCTGCATGCATGCGATTCATTGACTTAAATCAGAAAACATCGCTACCTGTCGGAACTCCTTTTCCTTCGCGTGAGCAGGTAACTGAAGAAACTGGACTTGCCGAAATGTGACTCCTTGATCTGATGGTCAGCTGGCTCAAATACGGTAATGCCTGTGCTTTTTGGTAAAGCCTTACATTCAACAAGAATAACGTCATCTGTTGGAGAGAGTTGGAGACTTGAAGTGTCGGGGAAATATCGCCGTAGTCATTGCATGTGGAGGTGTTGGAGGTGGCACGGGGTTCGCAGGATTCTCCAACGCTCAAAGCAGTCATCTCGCTCAGAATATAGTTCCATTCCTTGCCTTGGGAAGTCTTAAGACTAGTATATGTACCTTAGTGATCTTTCCTTTCCAGATTTACAAACGCTGCTCAGCAGTCAGCACCCTCATATGAACGACACAAACATCGTTTCTTACAAAAGAAAAACCCATCATTACAGTTTACCGCTCCATTTCATCACCATGTCGTCCACTTCAAATCGCGCCGACGCCCAGAAAGCCCTCTATGAGGTGGGCATGCCCATCCGGCGAAGCGTTCTCAGCGACACATACGTCGACAACGCTCTCAAGAACGGAAGCACCGAGTTTGCAAAGGCCATGCAAGAGTTCACTACTGCGTTCTGTTGGGGAGCTGTGTGGGATCGTCCAGGTCTGGACCGCAAGCAAAGATCATTGATCAATCTCTCTATGCTTGCTGCCACTGGAAAGGTCCATGAGCTTGCTGTCCACACCCGTGGCGCCGTCAACAACGGCGTGTCCGCCACCGAGATTCGGGAGGTTCTGGTACAAGTCTGTATTTACATGGGCGTTCCTGCCGGCATGGAAGCGTTCAAGGCGTCGGAGAAGGTTCTGGTTGACATGGAGAATGAGGGTATTCAGATCAAGCAGTAGAGGGAGGGATGATGCCACGAAGAGGATGCTTCAAATGGATTCACATAGCAAAGCATAGCTCGTGTTCTATGTCATCCAATCATTAACTCTTGCCTGCATCGCCTTCATTCACATCAAAGTTGCATTTACGTCTTGAAACATACAGGTATTCATACTATCTACACATCGCATTCGTTATATTCTTCGAGTGATGATCCTATAGAACCGGAATACAGGCTTACTGACCAACCGCATTAGGGGTGAGTCCGTTGCTAGGTTCTCAAACTTTCACCAACGTTTAGTCAGTAGGGGTATTGGAAAGCGTGTCTGCGTAAATCTCAAGGATTCGCGCCATTTTGGGCATTATTTGCCAAACTGTGGTGTTCTCTGTCTTGAACAACTCTGCCCATCTCTTCAAGACAAGAACGTCTAGATGCGTAGACGATCCTTCTGCCTGAGAGCTTTCATTACTTGTACCAATAGTTTGCTCCAGCATTTGCTTTATCCTCCTTTCCTCATCAGAAAGATCCGAAGATTGTTGGTTAGCCTGTAACCACTTCGACAGCAACAAAGCGCATTCAAAGTAAGACAAGGCATGTTGGACGCTCCACACCCAGAAGCTAGTGCGCGCTATCATCTTGAAGCCCAGTTGTGTTGGAACTCTAAGAGCGAGGCAGGCTTGGATGGCTGCTCTTGTTGTGTCTGAACCCCGATTCGGGGCTTCGATTCCTGCGATGGAATTCGCTATTTTGTCTTCGGAACATGAAGCGGCAAAATTCCGTCGGATAGATGAATAATCAGAAACCAAACGGATATAGGCAACCCTGAGGAGGGCGGTGCAGTTGAATAGAATTGGTCCTTGGGGATGGTCAGGAGACAGCGATGCTTCAGGTTCGCTCTCCCACATGAGCTGCCACCTCTGAAGAGCTCGGCTGAAATAGCGTCGATTTTCAAGATAGATGACGTCCTGTGTGGGACATGATCGACGCAACAGAATGATCTTCTGTAGTAAGAACGAGATGAGGACATGGCAGCCAAACATGCCGATGTGAGACGGGACCGGTAGAGACTCGTCTACAAGTCTCTCGACAATGACTTGAGCTGACGGCCATGTCTGGTTTCCAGCACATCGCATAGCCTGAGCCCAATCAACCTCGGTTCTCGCGCACCACTGCTTCTCATGTGCAGGCATGCCATGCTGGGCTTCTAAAAGCAATGGTGATGGTATATCGTAGGCAATCGTCATCAGGTTCATGAGCGTAAAGATACAGAAGGTCACTCTAGTCATTGTGAGTCCGAGAACCTCCTTCATATTCGGTGGTTTATTTACCTCTTGAGAGACTCTCGCGCAAGCCAGGCTTCCCACGTGGTGGTCTCTGCGCCCTCGCCATATTCTGAGAGTGCCCATTCCTGACGTATAGCAAAAGCAAGACGCCCATGAAATTGCAACGCAGTTCTCAGGTCCTCTTTCGTGCCGCTCCACGCAGCAAATGCTGTGAGTAGCATCATCGTCTGTAGTGCGTGAATACCTTCATCTGTAAGACTGGTCATCTGGACAGCCATTTTGTATAGTCCAAAGGCAGTCGGTCGCTCGAGGCTATACAATGCTCCGTTTGCGCAGACTGCAAGGACCAGCATGACCGGAGAACGGCTCACCGACCACGTCGGCTCGTGAAGAAAAGGCTGATGACGATGAAAGCTCCCGAAGTAGCGGGCAATAAACCGGGAAAGTTCGTCTTTTGATGGCAAGACGTATTGCGGATCTATCTTGCTGGTCTCCGATTGCATGCGTCTCCAACATGATACCGTCACATGTAGATGATCTTTTGGCATGGAACGGTTGTTGATAGCGTCATGGAGAGTTGGCGAAACGGGTTGGGAGAGAACATGGTTTCTTGCTGCCTTGTCCCCAAAGTCGATGGGCGAGAAAGGGTTTGTTGTTTGCGTTGAGGCTGCATCCGGTAGGATTTCCAACGTGTCCAAGGGGCCAAAGGCAGTGGTATCAAGATTATTGAGCCAAATACCTGTGTCCTGAAGTAGATAGTCCTGCATAGACTGGTCAACTTGTCCAAAGGTGAATTCAGGCACCGTCGCGACCTCTTGCAAAGCGTCCACGGTGAAATTCGCATTGAGGACGTCGTGGTTCGCTTCTTCGTCACCAGCCGTTAACGAGCCTCGATTTTGCAATACATTCCAATTCTGCTGGAGTTCTACGTCCATGAGCTCTACATTCTGTATTAATCCTTTTGGCGCGAGACTCTGGGTTGTTTTGGTAACCTTGCGTGGAGGCTGCCCGCGGCGATGGGCCTTAAGCTCATGCCTACGGAGCAGGTCTCGTCTGGCAAAGGCATGCGGGCAAAGAGTGCATTTATATGGCTTCTCTTTCGTGTCTTGTATAGGTTTTTCGTATTAGTGTCTGATTCACTGCCAAACATGTAGTCATCGGGTTGCTCACGCGTGCGTTCATGCCTTACTAGATGCTCTGAGCGGTTGAATTCGCGAGAGCAATGTACGCAGCGGTGAACTGCCGGGTTTTGAGTGGTCATTCTTGGGCTGCCAAATGCTTTCCTGTTGATAAGATAACATCAAGCGTTGTTTCTGTATGAAGTGAGGTCAGCATAGTAAAGTGAAACGGAACGCCGAACTGTCGGCAAGGAAAGGAAAAGGAACAAGTTTCCCCGCAGCCCCCGCGTTTGCCCCGCTCCGCAGCATTAGGGCCTTCGGGAAAGGCTGAAGATCGCCGAAGTCAATGGTATTGCAACAGCAGGTTTCAATAATTATATCTCAGTGGCGGTGGTTGATTGCAAGTTGGCTAGGATTCTGCAGAGATCCCCATTTATTACGCATGCAGAACCTATCCAGGCATGGCGATCACTCCGTTCAACCGGCAGACGAAGGCTTAAAATTGAGTACTAGATTTTGAGGAGGAAACACAGATATGCATACTATATATCAACTAAGTCTGCAGCGTCCTGATGTGAGCTAAACATCGTGCTCCGTGCCGTCTCTTCGTTCAGGACTCTCAGCTTCATGACTTGTAATGAGAGAGTCTATGAGTCCATTAAGTCAGCAACGCCTGGCGAGCGGATCGGATTCGGGGTCTTACTCGATGAGATTTCCGTCCGGGTCCCGAACGTATACACTCTGAATAGGGCCTTGTGCTCCGGTCCTGGCGACAACCTTTTCGCCTTCGAGCACCTGGATGCCATCTGCTTGGAACCCCTTAATAAGTTCCTCGAGATTTGTGCCGTCTTGTACGAGGAAGCAGAGATCCGCTGTGCCGGGCAATGCCGTTTTCGCTTTGGGCTCGAACTCTTTGCCTTGCTGATGCAGATTGATCTTGTGCGGACCAAACTTGAGCGCTGTCCTCTGAACCGAGGGATCCAAGGGTGAGGTGAACGTCTCAGCCTTCATTCCTAGGTACGTACTGTACCAAGATACCGTCTTGGGAACGCTCGCGCAAGTGAGCACGAGATGGTCCAAGGTCTTGACGATGGCTCTAGCACCTGACATCCTGGCTCCTTTTTATGGATACTTGGGCTGAGCGCACAGTTTGGTGTTGAGAATGACGGAGGTTCTTGGCGAGGGTAGAATTGCAGGATGATTGCTATGCAGCCCTTGGAGTTTGTTGTGTGGTCAAGTTGGGACGATGGAGCAGGAGTAAACAATGGGATGAATTGGAGAGAAACAAATACGTCATTGCCGCTAAAGCTGACTCACCTGTGTGGTAGTTTGGTGACAGCTGCCGAACTCCCGAGATCTTCGGCTTCCAGAGCCGGCGCCGAAGTCGAACTCGCCGGAACTCCACATCCGACGCCCCGCACATATTCAAGTCCGCATGAAGACCTTCGCGAGAATACTTTGCCGCGAATCAAACAAGTTGGAGAAGCTCGAATTGCAACACTCTCCAAACCCTCAACCAACATTGTTCATTGAGTCGTTGGAGTTTGTGGACCTCCTACGCCTGCGCTGGTGATCAGAACCAAACCTGTGTTGGAGACTCGACCAATAAGATTGCCCCTATATCGAACCATCTCCACCTCTCCAATTCTCTCCAACACCCTCCACAAACCTCCAACGAGCTGCCCACGGCTTGGCTGTGCTGTGCCTTGATGCTCTGGGTATGATGAGAAACCAATACCACTGAGCTGGTATTCAGGTTAACTTGTAAGTAATCCAAAATCTGCGTCGTGTTACTATCTTCAGGAATTACTTCCTCCACGCAAAATGGCCGAAAGCAATAATTCGACGTCATTTGTGAAGCTTTCGTTGCTCCCCAGTGGATTCCTAACTCTTCCGGAGCATTTCTTCTGCGCAGACCAACATGACAAAACGGTCCGAAATCTTGTCCCGTCCATGTCATTTCTACTCCAGCATCCCGTGACTGGAACCCGTATTGTGTTCGATCTGGGCATGCGAAAGAATCTGGAGGACTACCCTCCCGACATTCAACCGCATCTCAAGACTAGGCAACCCATCCATACGGAACCCGATGTTTCTGATTCGCTGCGCACGGGTGGTTTGGGGCCCGACGATATTGACGCGGTCATTCTGAGCCATGTTCACTATGACCATGTGGGAAACCCTAAGGACTTTGCTCGGGCGAAGTTCATCGTCGGCCACGGGACTCGGCATCTTTTAGAACACGGTATGAAGTACCACTCGGCGGCGAAATTTGAGAAAGATCTGCTCCCAGGCGAGCGAACCATTGAACTGGGAACTCAAAAGAACAAAATGAACCCTATGCCCAGCTATGATACAGAGCTTGCGCTTTCAAACACCCTACCAACGCAAGGACTTGACGCCATCGTCCCGAATGTCGACCACGAGTGGCGGCCTGTCGGCCCCTTTCCCAATGCGATAGACTTATTTGGAGACGGACTGGTCTACATTGTCGACAGCCCTGGACACCTTATGGGACACTTGAACGTTCTGACGCGGGTGGCAGAAAAGGGATGGGTGTACCTTGCCGGCGACGCTTGTCACCACGCCCGGATACTCGATGGGTTGACAGACATGGC